AATGTAACGTTTTCATAGTGAAACGAGCACAACCCAGGAAACACAAAGGTAATTTCTGTCATTGGAGAACAAGTGAAAGTGAGACTGCCAAAACATCCTCTTATAGATGATCCCCTTTCAAAATAGATTACAGAGCTGAAAGTCGAGTGACAGTGACTGCAGTACTAGAACATGAATCAAATTCACTCCAAACAAATGTGTGACCTTTAAATTGTGTCTATCCACTTTAAGGTTCAACAACTGCAAAGAAAAGTCATGTTCTGTAAAGCGCTGATAGTTGATCATGGAATGAAACCAGGAATCTCCTTCTGATTGCTCCCAAGTTCTTCAATCTGCTTTTCTTGATAATTCTCTCAAGGCTGCAGTCATTACCGTAACTTGTGTACACTTTTCTCTCCCAGTCAACTTGCCATTGATCTGTGAACGTCCAGCCTTTTCAGTAACAACCTTTAGTGGCTTTTTCTCCATGTGGAGGGTCACAGTTGTGTTTTGACCTACATGGAGACATACAACCAATATTGGCTATAACAGTTGTGTGTTGACCTACATGGCGATAAACAACCAATGATTTAGGCTCTGTGATACGCAGGTTTACGCTGCATACTCACTAAAAAACTAAGTAAATTTCCTTATAACACCCAAAGTTCTGACCACAACTTTACAGCTATTTGCAGTAACTTGTTGCTTTTTAAACTCTAAAACATCTTTAATTAAGAAAATTTTAAAGGACCTGACATTTGTTGTATAGCAGACACATTTGATCCAGCACAGTTCCTGAGATCCTGGATTAAAGCTGGACTTGATTTCTAAAGTGTCAGGATGGCAATGAATAAAGGAAAAGCCTGTAGGTTTAAGGTCAGAGAAATATTTTCATCTATTATGGTTCGCTGGATGAGTTATGGTTTTTCTGCTGTGCTGAAGATAGAAATGTGTACACCAGTTCAGCCCTATTGTGCATAAAGTGTTTTGGCGTGCAGTGAAAATGTTATTATTTTTCCACCTGACGCACTCCTCATTTTCTTGCCCAGATCCCACGCTCTGTGTAAATAGTGGGTGAACTTGCGCACATGCTAGCGTCTGTGGATAAGGTGGCGGTGTGTGTAAAAAGCATTACGTTTCTACGCCTCAGACCATCAAAAACCTGGTCTTAAGGTTGAAAAGTACTTCCCTGATGTTTAGGGAGCATTCTCATTAGTGACGGGGTGAAAAAGGCATTAAGAGCCAACAGCGTGCTTTGTCTTGTACACACAGAGACGCAAAGCCGAGCACTCATGTTTGAGTTTTCGCTGATACAGTGAAATTTAATTCTCATGGTCTACATGGTCAATGGCTTGGTGAAACAATTCCTTGTCTCACAATATTCCTTCTCCTCATAACGTTAGACCTGCTGGGCTCCAAAGCTGCAGCCTGCAAGTTACCAAGCGCTCTGCCTTGGTATGTAATGTCTCAATTATGTACATTAATTACGGGTATTCTTAGCTGTCTTGAAATATAACTGTTGGTTACATTGACCTTGCTGTGTGCTTATTGAATAGAAGAACATGGTCAGTTGCTCTTGCTTACACTGCTTGGTGAAATAAGGATATGGTGGTATGTGATGCATGTGCTAGGTTCAGTCGTTGCTGGAGTGCTCCTTATGTATACAATATTAGCCTTGGTAATACGGGTGCAAAGTGTGTAGATGTGGGGGGTCTGAACTTTTTTTTTTTTTTTTTCCAGCCATTTCTTCCTGTCAGCCTGTTTTTGTGTTTGCATCTTGCCTTATAGATCTGTCCGTTTCTCCTGATGGACTTGTTGTAGCACAATCGCACTTCTTGGCTTATCTTAGAGGGCTGATCTGCACCATCTCTGTAAACTTGACTGTTGCTCCCAAGTCTTTAAGCATCTCTCAAGTGAGCCCTGATTTATCATTCACTCCCTCACCTCTCCATTAAAAGCGGAAGCCAAATAATGACTTGAGGTGAAACGGGTGCTTGGGCAGCACATAAAGCTCCAGTTTGTCCCCCTGAATCACTCATAAATTCATCTGTTTTCATATAAATGTTTTAAAAACCCTGGTGTTTATGCTGGGATTCCCCAGGCTTGAAGAGGAGATTAGTGGCAATATTACAATCTAAAGATGAAAGTGAATGATTGATGGTAGATTGGCTGCTAATCCAGTGTGTCCTGCTGGGAGGACAAATTAAGGAATTAGATTCTGGTTTAAAACGAAGGAAAGAGAAAGAAAAAGAAAATAAATCCATGTTTAATTAAGACCAGATTTTGCCTTTTTTTTATTTTCTTTTTGCTCTTTTTCTTGATCACATAGTAATGAAAATAGATAAACTGCAGTAAGTACTCATCAAAGTTAACACACACACATAAATGCATTTAAACACCCACACTTTAGCACCTACTTGACCGATTTATTCACACCTGAGAGGAGCCTGAGGGTTGAAATTATTTTCCTTAAAGCTTCGCAGGGGATTGCACTCTCAATTAGGATCCATATCCAGTTAGCCTGTTTAGCCTCACCTCTCTCAGGGGAGCAGATTAAAACGAGAACCCATCCACATAAGCCTTCTATGCTATAGAATACAGTCTCATTGTTATGTGAAGTTATGTGCTGTAGTTTATTATCATAAACAGTCTATTAATTTGATGTTTTAATGAGTTGGGGAAAGTGAAAGTGTAGAGGTCATGGAAGATGATTCTATCTCACACACACACACACACACACACACACACACACACACACACACACACACACACACACACACATCTTTGTTGTCTTGGCAACTAACAAGCGCAACAACAATTATTGTCTCCTCACCCCTCCTTTTGAGTTACAGGAGAGAGGACAGAGGTTTTCCTCTGAGGCTGCAGTGACCTGCTGCCAGGCTCATCCGCAAGAAGTAATTTCATTAGATCCAAGCTCCCAACTCCAGAGGGTAAAATCCTCGCCCCCTTCCCCTGGAAACCCTGCAGGGGATTAGGACTGAGGGTTCGAGGTTCAGAGCGGGACAAAAGACAGAGCTCCTCCGTGGGGACGGGCATTAGCTTAGTTTAGACAGGGGAGGAGGAAAGAAGCCCATAAAGTGGACAGAGGATGGAGAGGGAATAAACAGAGAGAAGAGAATACAGAGATAGGAGGAGAGCTTTAATGAGACAGTGAACATTGCACTGCACACTGGAGGTCATTTACAGCAGCAGGGGAATAACAGGAGCGTAAATAAAAGTGCTGCAATCAAATGATAACCTTTTTAAAACAGGGTGTGTGCCAAAGGATTCTTTCACAAGTTAATATTATTCAAAATATACTTTAAAGGTCCTGTTCATGCCACAGTATCTGGCACAAGTGTTCATCTTGCTGTCTTAACAATCACTGCAAGTATTTACAGTGGATAAAATAAAGAACAGGGGTACTTTTTCTGTTCTGTAAATCATCGCGTCTGAGACCTGCTCCCTCGCAGCAGAAACAGGCGGTAAAAATGACAATAAGACTTCCTGATAATAGCTTTGTCTGTTTTTATAGTTAATAAAAAAACCTCAGTGTAGTTTCATCTTGTATCAAAACCAGCTAAAACTCTTCTAAGGAACTTTAATTTAGTACAAAACTTGTTTGAAAATAATCACAGTATCCCAACTTTTTCTTATTATGATTTTAAAAACACATTTCATGGCCTTCTTCTGGGCTACAGACAAGAGTTTGTCCCTTGACGCAAAAAAAAAAAAAAAAATCCAAACAAAAAAAAATTAACTAAATTAAAAATTAACTGACTGGAGTTAAAAGAGATGGTAATTACAGTAGTTAACTGTGTGTGTGTGTGTATGTGTATGTGTGTGTGTGTGTGTGTGTGGGGGGGGGGGGGGGGGGGTATTTTGAAACAAAAAAATAATCTTGTCCTTGTAGATTGCAGAAGCTCCCTTGCGGTTTGTTTCTGCTCTGAGTGGTCAGTACCTGCGAAAAGTGATCCAGGAAGGAAAGCAGTTAAGGCGTGATAGGGTCATGGGTGGTAAAGGCAGGCCTTTGTGTGGTCTGATTCAACAAAAGAGCAATTGGAGCTCATACCACTGAAAAAGTCAACCTTGGCTCTGACAGAAAGGTGTCAGACCACACAGAGCAGCACAGCTTGTTTGATGGGGCTGCATATAGCTGCAGACTGGTCAGGGTGCGTGTTGCACATGCTGACCCTGACAACCACCTAAAACTCCCACAATGGACACAAGCATTACAGAAATGGACAATAGGGCAACGGAAGAAGGTGGCTTAGCCTTAGAGGTACAACTCTCATAATCTCAACCTAAGATAGCATCTGTTGGATATCCTGGACAATCGAGGCTGATCTATGGAGGCCTTGACTCACATGTCTCATCAGGTCAAACCAGGGTTGCTTTGATTTGGATTAATGAAAACGGGTGCCTTCATAGCATCAGTCAGGCAGTCATAATATTATGGCTTATGTGTGTATGTATTGTTTTTATTCATTTAAACCAATTCAGTTTTAATTTAGCTTCCACAGAGGCATTTCATTTCGAGTTACAATCTTCATGTATGTAATGTTTTCACTACACCTTCACTGATATGTGACTAATAAAGTGTGGTAGCTGGTGACCAAACTAACCTCACATCTAGGAAAGGTGCAGTTTTCAGAGAGAAACAGTTCTCCTTTTGTGAAAGACTTTAGTTTCTGAACAAAAACCATAGAAACAGTAGTACCCTGTAGTGAGGGAGACCTATAAAGCTGGCTTGCTGGGCTGAACTGTTATAAAAAAAAAAAATTATATATAAAATTTATATATAAACACAGTTAAGGTTCCTCTCAGTCAGTAAAACTTTGTACACTTTGTATCTAATCATAGAACTTTGGCAGAAATATCTAACAACCTCTATGTAATTACGCCTGATTTCTTTAGTGTGTTAGATTGCAAGAGTTTGACGCCTTGCCACCCACACAAGCTGTTTCAAATTGTTCACTGTTGGTTGTCATATTCTGGCTGAAGAAATATGTTATTAAAAAAAGTTGGCTAAGACTTCAGAATTTTACCACAAACTATAACCATTTATGAGCACAGTGTTTTTAAATATTTACACAAAAAATGGTATAATTTATTTTAATTTGTCTTTTTTGTCTAACTGCCAACTTAGAAAGGAGAACAATTTTTCTACAAAATAAATAATCACAAAAGTGTTGCAGTCGGGTCACCGTGACCCAATTCTGAGTTGAGTCGTGTGTCCCCAATGTCGATGTACAAGCCCTTCTCAAAGTCACCGGAGAAGAATCTAAATCAAGTCCCAGTCAAGTGCCCTTAACTTCTGTCTAAGAAAAAGTCAAGTCCCCATTGCCACAGTCTGAGTCCAAGCCACTGAAAGGCAAAATTGGAGGCATCCCACTCAAGTACCTATGAGTTGAGTTCAAGTCTGAGTTAGGTCCCCATTGTTACAGTGTAAGTATGAGTCCACATTACCTTAGTTTGAGTCCGAATCCAAGTCAAAAAAAGGATAATTCCATTCCAATTGCAGTCAAGCCCTCATTTCTCAAGTCTTAGTCTGAGCCCAGTTCCAAGTTTCCAAAGAAGAGACCAAGTCCATTTTGTGTCCAAATTTCCAGAGTCCAAGTCTGAGCTAAGTCTTCATTACCCGAGTCCCACTCCTGCACTGAACCCCACTCAAGGCTCCATGACCTGAGTCTTTATCTAAATTGGGTCCAAATATTTAGGGTCCATATCCAAGTCACAGGAGAAGGCTTTAGATCCAGGCCGCTTCAAAGCCCCATTTTCTGAGTCCATGTCCAAGTTCAAGACCAAGTCAGCAAAGACAAGTTTACAATCCTGTGTTTACAAGTTTAAGTTTACAAGCCCAGGATTGAGCAGCATCTCTGTTACCTGAGTGTGAGTCCAAGCCAGATGCAACAAAGAAGAGTCGAGGAAGGACACAGGGATTTCCCACCCAAGCCCCCATCACTCAAGTCTGAGCACAAGTTGAGTACCCATTATCTGAGGTATAGTTTTGAGTCTAACTTACTTAAGAAGGATCTGAGGCCAGTTCCTGTTAAGTCTCTGTTAACTGAGTCTTAGTTTAAGTCTAAGTCACTCTTATTCATATAAAAATGTCTTCATGTATAAATCATTCCAAGTCCCTTTCCATATTCTGGGACTGAATGCAGCTAAAGCTCAAATCCAGGTCTGAGTCATCTCTGCTGCGGATAAATTAAGAGTTCTGGAATTAAGAGCCCAAGTTAAACTTAAGTCCAAGTCCTGGGCTTCAGCGCTACAACAGCAGATGGGGTTGGAATCTTCATCTTGAACGGATGCTAAAAATCCCCTAATAAAGAAATAAAGTCTTACTGTGTCGAGAAAAAAGTTATCAAAGGCATCATCATGGGGATCAAACTGACAAAATACAAGCAGTGCTGAGCTGGAGGAAACAAATAAATTTCTTCAAGTTCTAAATGAAAAGTCGATTGTTTTTAGTATCAGCAAAAAGATTTCATGAAAGAGGTTACAGATGAAAGTTCTGTGATCATGTTCAAAGTGAAAATTAAAGCAGGCTTTTTTAAGAGATGGGACCTCGCAGTTTAATGAAGACGATTATAATCACAAACACCTACAGCATCATTATCATTATGATCACAGCATCATCAGGCCTTTTTTTCCCTACAGTATAGCCATCAGACACACACATGCAAACAGTTTATCTTCAGGTCTCAACACTCTCTTCTTAGAGTGTTTGCGCGGGGAAGCCTGTAAGCCTCTATTTGTTTAGTAATTTCATGACTGGCTAACCTTCCTTCTCTGGGGCATCTCTCTGACTCAGTTAGAGCCTTCTGTGTGTGAATGTGTGTGCATTTGTGCAGATAATATTACACAACATCTCTCTCTCTCTCTGTCTTTCTCTGTATATATACGGTGTATACACCCATTTGCACATACTTTTTTCATATACTTTCCTCAGTTCCAGCCATCCTGAAAGTATTCTCAGCCTGAATGTCGACTGTTTCTTTCTCCCAGCCTCTATGAAAAAGAACATTTTGTCTCTGTGAGGTTCTCCTGACGATAAAAGCAGTCTTTATAGTTTTGTAACGCTGAAAGCTATTTGAAGGCGGCCGTTCTCCTGCTCAGAAACACAGACAGACCATGTCAGCGTACTCCCCCTGTGAGTCTGGAAACACCCAACATTGTAAGAAACAGAAAGCATTTTCTAATTTGTCACAGCAGACTAAGCAGTAGTGATGCCTCCAGGCGCAGCAGAAAGAGTCCCCATCTTCTACTCGCATGTTATTGCACTACTAAACTGTGTCATGAAGCGCCATATCAGGTTAATTTGCATTTCTATTGCGTTCGCACAAGGAGAGGTTTTCCCAGGTCAGCAGGACTAAAGCCTTGGGGTTCCCAACCTTAGCTGATCTGTGGAGGTAAAAATTCAATAAGTGGTTATTAGAGGAAATCTGTCATGGCTGCTTTTGGCTTTAATTTGTTTTACAGCTTTGAAGCTTTTTCTATCACCTGAGTGACTGCTGGCTTAGCGACCATGGTAAGGGGGAGCAGTAGAGAGCCTTAACTTCTTCCCTGGATCTCAAAGCCCTTAACTAAAGTTTCCACTATCTTTAGGCCAACAAGAAGCACTTGTAGCATCAAGACAACCCTGTGTGTGAAAACTCGCACATTCCTCACAGGAACTGTCCCTAATCTGGCCCCAGGACATCCCTAACCCTAACCCAGGATAGTAATCCAGACTGGTTTGTACTTTCAGTTTACACCATTGACCCAACTAGAAACTTAACCCAAACCTCTGGCTCTTCTCAAGTGGTCAATATGAAGAACAAACACAGAATTTATTACCTTTCAAACTGACTCCATCGCTGACCATCTAAATAATTGTTCATGCCTCAACCCAGGTCTCCCATTTGAGATTTACTATTTTAAGTGTGTGCATACATGGAACCCAGGGAAAGGTCTGGGGAGCTGGACGCTGACCTCCAGACCTCTGTCATAAAACCCTGTTCAGCCATATATTGGTAAACACTGCATTTCTTTGGTGAAAGAATACAAATGTTGAGCATTTTTCACCATTAGGTGGTTAAAACGTCCCTGAAAAATCTGAATACAGGTAAAGACAAGTTATTATTAATCATAATGAAGTACATTAAATTGTGTTTATTCTTTTGGTATTCATAGATGTGTGACTATTTCAGTTCAGTTCAATTAAATGTTCTTTTGAAAAGTTATTCTTAAAGTATAATGAGGATGTTTAATGTGATTCTACATTTCTTTATATGTATCTTTATATGTGTTATATTCAATTACATTAATGATAGTGAGCGAGTATCAGATCTGACTCCTTTACCAGCAAAAAGTATAATTTGGTTCAAATAATCAGGGATCTTGACGGTCTCCTCTCAAGAAGCTGCAGCAGGACACCAGTGACCCCTCCTCTCTTTCCTCAAACACACACACCAGAGATGCTTTGAAGAACATAAAACCAGTAAAGTTGGGGTGCTTAGGCTCTTATTCTTTAAGTCTCTCTTATTCTCTAATGCTTACTCTTGTTTGGTCTTACTTGTAAGCACTTAGTCTTTTTCTCTCTTAACTCTCATCCTATTCTACTCTTTTCATTTTCCCACCTAATTCTTTCAAGTTTTACACCACGTGTTCATTCACTGTTTGATTTGTCATTAATATCATAGTTCAAGTTTTAAAACTCCAACTACTTCTGCGTGCATAGCAATCCAAGATTTAGTCTGTAACATAATTTTCTTTAATTTCTCAGTCATTTTTGAAGTTGCTTTGATTGGATATCAAGCATCTTTTTCTTAGTTATATGCTTTATTTCAAAGTCACCTCTGAGCACCTGGGTGCTGTGATTCTTGGCCCATCTTTCGTCTGACTTCGGTTCTTTTCTAAGCCCAACCTCTCAAACCACAGGTGGCCTGGACCTTTGGTGAACCTGCTCCATCCTCTCCAAGGACCAGCCTCACTGAAGTGTGCAAACCTCCAGAGCTCCATACAGGGCTGGTGCTGTCTCATGGGTTCATACGTTCAAGACATTTATTATAAATTCAAATCACTACACACTTAAGAGACTGGCCGTGCCAATTGGAATTCCCAACGTAACATCCTCACAGTGTTGTCAGCCTCAACGTGAAAGACAACCTTCTGACACACAAATAGAGTGAGTTAATGAAGAATATTTAGGCATCAAAAATGTGAAGAAGAGTTTGGTGTGAAATAGCTTTTAAGACTGGGTACGTTAAAGTAGTTGAGGAATTTTTATGCACCAATTTTCATAGTATGTCCCTCATAAAATAAACACAACAGAGTATCAATCCTGAGTTTGTCCAAAATTTTCTCCCAATCACCATTTGAGCAAATAATGGGTCATATGAAAAAATGATGAATATCTCTATAACAATGCAGTTTACCAGTAATTTGATTCTTGTGGTTCCAAGCAGGACACAGCGAGCCCAAGTATTCCAAAGTTGGATTACATCCAGTGATGACTATGAACATAGCGTAGACCTCTACAATACATCAGCAGCCTTTGAGCTAATATAACTTAAGTCAAACAAAGCTAATGCATGCTAAATTTTGCCAAAACATTTGCAGTGTGATACATGGAGACATTGTGTAATTTTTTGTGGGTTTTCCCAGCATTCGGAGGACACAAAGGTAGTGAGTTTATGACATCCTTTTGGATTCTGATGTGTCTGGGATATGTTTCTAGTAACATCAGGGAGGTGGTTAAATGGAGGGCTTTGTAAGCGGAGTCCTCCCTGTGTTACTCCTTGATAACCCACAGTTCACTGGCAGGCTTTAGCGTCTCAGTTTGACTCTACAGTTTTCTACAAATTCACCAAATGACTTCACACCATCCTTCACTCTCTGTTTCCTCCTCACTTACACCTCCCTGCACTGAAACACTCATCCAAACACACACACACACACACACACACACACACACACACACACACACACACACACACACACACACACACACACACACACACACAGCGGCACACCTGCCTCCTTCTCACCGCTATCAAATCCTGGCTCACTTTCAGCTGCTGTTTATTTGAGTGGCAGCTATTTTTTTTCGATTTCGCACTCTGAAACACTGACATATGAGTCACTCAGCCTCCCCCCAAGACAAACACACGCCTTTTGTCTCCCGCTTCACATAAATCGAAGGCCTCCAGTCCTCACCAAATGTCTTTTTAATGAAAACTGCTTCGTCTCATCACTCAGTGAGTGTCTAATGGCTCCTGTATCGCTGCAGGTACCAGAGAGAGGTGAGGATATCTGGCACAGGAAAGCACAACCTAAGACCAAGACAAAGAGCGCACACATGAACTCACACACCTTCGCACTCCCACAAACACTTCACATGTCAGCCTCACTGAGCACCCTGCAAATCTGAGATCGCAGGCAATTAGTTTGGCTTTTCTGGCTTCCATGACGAGTGGGAACAGTGCGTATTGTTAGAGCATGATATTTCTGAGTTCATTTAATCATCAGAGACTGTGAGGTTTTACAAAAAATAACAAGGGAACTGGAACAAAGCAGATTTCAGGAAAATGAGGTGGCTAATGAGTACTGAGGCTTAAAAATCAGACTCCTAATCATATGTATGCACATAATCATGCATGGCAGGTGAATACCGCTTCAGCAATGACTTGATTGCATTGTATGTGCCGAATCAAGGCACAAAGGGCGAAATCACACGTCTCACCTCATATTCCCCTCCATACCTCCTTCCTTCCTTCCTCTCTGGACCCTTTTTTATTTGTCCCCGCAGCCTATCCTTTCCACAATCTCTGCACCATTCATTGTCTTTCCTTGCCTCGCCTCACCTGCTACTCCTTCAGCTTGACTCTCCTCTCAGAGTGGAGGATTTGCTCGCTGATCCTGATCCCACACACAAAAGGAGGGTGGATAATCAGCTTCTCCTCTCATCCGGCCTGAAACAGTCCTCTTCAGAATTCCCACGCGATTCCATGCCTCCTGAAAGCGGACTGTTATCCATTATCCCTCATCTACTCAGCTACTCATCCCTAATCTTTGGCTGTCTTATCCCACTCTCGTCTTGAGGTTCTGTGCTTCCACCTAGATATCAGGAGACTGGCCAGTAGGGGGACCGCTATCTGCTCCATGAAGGGGGCTTGAGGGCTCCGCGTCTACAAGCGGGGCCTATGTTCACAGCCTGGCACCGTGCAGCTTGATTGGGTTGCTGTGGAGAACCGTCTGCTGCTTTCACCATCCACTATGACTGGTTTAGCGGTGGGTCAGTGATGGTCTGGGGAGACATATCCTTAGAGGGCCGCACAGACCTCCGTGTGCTAGCCAGAGGTCCCTGACTTGTTAGGTACTGGGATAAGATCCTTGGACCCTTTGTCAGACAGCCTCATGTGGCTGGAGTGTGTAATGACAAAAGCATTGATGCTTTTGACCAGCCCACCTGTTCCCCAGACTTGAATCCAGTCCAGAAGCTCTGGGCCATCATGTGTGCAACAGAGTGCATTTTTGTGTCAAGCTGCTGGCTGGCTTCATGATGCTAAAACAATCACAATGACTAATGATGATTAATGTTAAGTTTCCATCATTTTTCACCATACTGTAATCTGGCACAAAGCAGAGCTAAAATTGATGAGAGCTCAAAGCTTTGGTTATGTAACCAAAAGTTTTGAAAAGTTGTTTATTTGGCTTGATGAATTGCTAACTTTGTGACTTTAAGGAGTTTTCCTAATGAGAAGTCAGGAAGGGTTTTTACCACCCAGTGTCTGGCAACTTGACGAGTGGATTTTAACATATTTTATTTCAGGTTGTTTTTAAACTCAAGGGGTTACAAGCATTAACTGTATATACTATGGACAACTTGGTTCTGCTTTCCGCCAGTATACAGATTTAAAGCCAAAAAGCTCTCGGTATTTACGGGTTTTTTCTCCACTTCCTGAAATCAAGATTGCGCAATAGCATTGAGTGAGCTATGCAATCTCTGTACGCCCATAAGCTGTATCAAGTGTCAATCATAGCAAACATGAACCCCCCATTAACTTTGAAAAATGGAGCTGTAGAGAAAAAAAAAGACGAGCACAAACCAGTCTTATAGGAACTACATGTCAACATCACAACCAGGGGAGAGAAAAATGTATATTCTGTGTAATTGATTTCTAAAGATTGTCCACAACTCCATAGGGATTGCTTAAAGAGGCGGGATTTATAACCTATACTGCAGCCCGTCACCAGAGGGTGCTGTTCTCGCAGTGGCTTCACCCAGTGAGGAGGCAGATGGTGTCCATTCTATATACAGTCTATGGTTACCACTAGACCATGCATATGAGTACATTAATGTTATTCTATCAGATGTCTTAGATGTTCAAATTCAAGGCAGTGGACACAAACATCCTCACTGCTGTACCAACAGCATGGCTGGAATATATTTCCACAGTCATCTGCATAGACTTGCTCGCAGTCCCTCCAGCTGCAAAGAAGTCTCTTTATATCATTATAAAGACATTTGGAGGACTGAAAGTTTCCTTTGTAAACTCACTGGCAGGAATGATTCTCCGTTCCTTCCACTCCATGTGATTTGTTCTGGTGGTTTGTTGACTCCATAAATCTCCTTCAAGTTATGCTCCAATGATGACATATGATGCATTGTAACAGGAAACAAAATGATGATGGAAGATGAAAGCTGGATCTCAGGCAGGAAACAACAGATCTTTCTGCCATTTAGCGTCATAACAAAACATGAACTACGGACGTTAGATTAAAACAAATGTTCTCTTCCTGGATTTGATAGCGAGTATATGCGAGTATTGAACAAAGTTCTAATTGATTTATTCCTGTGAGTGGAAGCAAAGGGAACTTCTGTACAAACTGCTTTAAAACACAGAATTCCTCTGTATAATTCTTGCATAGGCAACCGGCTCCCAGGAGTTTTTGCTTCGTGTTCTCACTTTAAATGAGCTGTCTTGACGGCTTTTAAGTGCAAACTCCGATCTACTCCTCTACTCCTCTTACACTAAAGTTCCTACTATTGTCTTTTTTCCTGTCTTTGTCTTTCTCCTCTTTCTGCACCCAAAAGGGAACCTGTTCACTATCGATTACACATCTACTCTCACTGCAGTGTCTACTTTTGTGTTCTTGTCTGCTTCAACTGACTGCTCGGCTTTGTCCTGCTCTTTCTGTCTGTATCGTACACATTCAGCTATCACAGAAAAAGCTTTGTACTTGTTATTTCACACGTATTAGTGTGAGCAGATGATGCAAACTCTTCTGTTGCATGTTAAAATACACTATACTGCTCAGACAAATCAAGTAGAGCCAGATCTTGATGTTTTAGATCGCTGATAGGAGGATGTTTCTCCTCAAAAACATTGTATTACAACATAGCTTCACGCTGGATTTGGATGTGACAAAATGAAGCATAAAGGCAGAATAAGAGGGAATGAAGACGCAGTGAGAGGAGTGCATGGTGTGTTTGTGCGTGTGCAGGTCATTACTGATTCACACAGGCCTGTGATCCAGGGCTGTATGGGAGTAAAGCCCCCCTCTCGCTTTTCTCAGACTTTCAAAATTCATTGCTCGGCTCTTGGTATTCTTCAGACCATGCGCTGAATATCCCATTCATCCATCAATGATTCACTGTCATAGCCTGAGCTGGGGTTTAACAACAAACCACCAAAGAAAGCTTAGATGTTGGTGCGCTGGATAGTGAGTGATTGATAAAAATTTCAAGAGCGTTCAAAATTCGCCAATACTATCCAGTCTTTCCACAAAAAATGCCTCTGAAAAGACCACTTTGAGACAATTCATTGTGTGCAGCCTATTGATTTTGAGGCATAAGCATTCAAAAAACATATCTTTTAATGTATCCTATTGCTGCAAAGACAGGGGCCCCAGTAGTCTTGAAGGGGTATTTCAAGATTCTTCAATGGGGTTGTCCAAGTCGCATGTCAAAAAGTGTGCTTGCCATCATAGATGTCGGCCAGCTTGACCCCTTTTATGGAATATTGCAAGGGAACGGCTGGCTATGCTGCAGTTTTCTGCAGACGGGGTCAAATCTGCCATGTTTCATAGCTGTTTTTGAGGGACTCCAACCCAAGCAATCATCACACTTTAAGAGTCAACTTAAATGAGAATTTTTCAGTACTTTCTGCCATCAGAAAGTCTATTCTTTGTTGCATAATTTGTAGATGCAAAACTCACATGCCCCTCCATCTGCAGCTTACTGACTACTACAGGGTTTGCAGGCCTTCAAGAGACGAAAGTACACTGACAGCACACCAATGGCAGACTATTTACTGAAGACAAGAGCTGGGCAATACTTCAATTTTTAATTTTCCATTATTATTATGGCTCCCCATGAACATGAAAAACAAGGTAGTCAAGACTTAAAGGGATATTCTGGTGTCAATTGAAGTTATGGTCAAACACACCATAGCACCAAGTTAAACATCCCCTCGAGAGATGAATGTTGCCCACTGCTTGCTTCTCCAGTTATCCCAACTTCAGCAACGACCGCACGTTAGCAATACACAGCGGTCTTTGTCTCCACGTGCAAACCTCAACTAAAACGCCACTCTATAGCCACAAATAATGCTCAGAACAGCAACTAACTTCATCAACAGTACATATGGGGTCCTCACCATAGTACTAGCCATCAAAAATCTTTGTAGCTTTGCCTGATTTCTTGAGCAAAGAGACTAAACACAACTCACCCACTCTCCTCCAGCAGCCGCTTGTTTGAGGGGGAGCCCTGATGAGTCGATCACCGAGTGCAGCAGAGTTTCGCAGCTCACGATAGAACATTTACGATCATTACTTCATGGAAATGCAATCAGAGCTCTTGTGTATCTTGTATGTAAACTGCGGACGCGGTAGTTCTTCTGCCTTAGCATCTTGGTCTGGTTGCATTTCCATGAAGTAATAATCATAAATTTTCCGCTGCACTCAGTGATTGACTCATCAGGGCCCCCCAACGAACAAGCGCCTGCTGGAGGAGAGTGAGGAGATGGGGTGTCTAACTCGGTGATATGGTGTGTTTGACCATAACTTAAATTTACGCTGGAATATCCCTTTAACACTACAGTACTGCTTGATGTGTTATCACCAGTTAGGTTCTATACATTAAATAAAGTGCATCCTCGACTCTTCCTTAACGGCAGAGCGTGGGCTCGGCCCCTTCCCTCAAACAGCTCTCCCTTTCACACAACCATGAGCAGCTCAGTTCAATGTGAAACACAGTTTGGCATTCATTGTGTCTTCTGCACCATCCAGCAACCTGTAACTCAGACTGCCTCACTTCAAAAGTATTCCTTTAAACCTTCGAATAGTTCAAATTAAAAGATTGGTGTTGCATCCAGATTTTACAACTAGATCTGATCTAGTCTGGTTCTTAAATCAAAGCACTCTTTAAAGTGCCTAAGGATGACAGAAGCCATTGATGGCTCACAACTGAAGGCCTGGATCAGTACACTCACTGTGGCTTTGCAGTCCACTCACATGGGCCACTTGTGTTAAGCCAGGGACGTTTAATTGCATCATTCTTCATCAGTTGTTTGAATCCCGTATGTAGTAATTAACGGTGAAAAAGGTGCCGCAGACAGGTATGAATGTAGCTTCAAATCACAGTGCCCTCAAGCCTTTCTTTCCGACTCAGCTTTGATGGCTTTCTCAGATGAAACAGGCTGGGATTCATGAAAGCCAGGACAAATTTAGGGATGACTTCTGGCTGCCATTCTGCATCAGTAGCATCATAAATAAGTCATTTTAAGGACAGAGTGCCTCAATACTGCAACTTCACTGCTTTTTTGTCACTTACTTGATCTCTGAAGTAGCTCTGTTGGCTGTGTAGGTGAAGGAAGGGCTGCATTAAACAACTCAAAAACTCTCCTCTCGATTCCTCAAACTCAAATCAGCAAGAAAATCAATCAATTCTTTCCAATCTGGGTGTTTCTCTCTTCTTTAAAAAGCTTTTGTCTCTTAATTAGGAGAGTTGGAAGGTAGAAAAATCACCTATTGCTTGTTTGTTTCCTCCTTTTAGTTACCAAGAAACTTCTCCTCCACATTAAGCTGCTTGAAATGTCCCAAATTATGAGATGGCAGAAAAACAATCTTGCACCAATCCAAACTACAACACATGATTTTCTCAAATTATAAAGAGAGATTGCAGCTTTTCTCTCTGCCTGGGGCACTAACATGGACTTACGTTTTAAATATCTTCTCAAAGTCATCAGTATTTCAATGAGTTGGTTGTTTCTCTGGAGAAAGATTAGTGACTCGTGCCTGCAGGAAAAAAAAGACAGAATCCGAAAAGAGACAAGAGAGGGTTCAATTTGGGTTAGGCAACAATGTGAAGTGTATAAAACTGAATTCACAGTTTCATCACTGAAAATAATGAGGTTAGAGAAAACTGAATTCAAAGATTACGATAATTTCAAACATCCACATTAAGAATAAATTAAAAAGTGATGCTTATTATTCATGCTCATGCGCCCAGCTCTACTTGACACAGATTTAGTGGTGAGATGAAGCCCAAATACAGGCTGTAAAACATTGTCTATTACCAAGACTGATGATTGTAATCTCAGCCAAAGTTTGATTTAAAATCAGCAGCTCCACAATCTGTGAATGAGGAAGTATTACCCTGAAAACCCAGAGGATGCATGTGCACCAGTTTTGCTACATCTGCGGTCATGCGCCCCAGCCCACTGGGACGGTGTTTGAAGTGTAACACAGTCTGGAGCGGCTGGACTGAAACAACAGTTTACTTTCACTTTTCATGGTAGATTCTCTGCTCATTTTGAGTGTTATCTGTGACTGCTGAGCCTCAAAACAACATGATTATAAAGTTTTACTTTTTACAGGTTTGATGCTCTTCATATATTCACAAATTGTGTTCCACTTTGTTGTGGTGTTACCTGCAGACATAACAGCTAGAAGTCCTTTTGTAACTCACAGATCATGAATAGACTATGTTGCTGTTTTGCATTAATAATAAATCCATCATCAGTAAGTATTTCTGATGTATACAATCTGGTAGACAGTCAGGGATTGGCATTTGGTGTTTTATTTTGGCATTTATCAGATGGTATGTGTAAGGAATCCTAGCCTAGGTGTACACACAAATTATCATGTTGACAAGTTTTACTGGTTGCAGATCTGGGTTACAGCTTCATCATGCCATAAGTGTAACAAAGACTGGTCTGAGACTGTCCAGGGATATATAGCCGTCCACGTTTCCAAACATTCTTCTTACATCTTGTTGACCTGAAGGAGAGTCCATGTAGGGTAATAACAAAGTACGACATATTTTGGGAGTCTAAGTGATGTTAAACATGTGTACAAGGTCCTTGTTGAGGATGGTTGTTGGAGGCCCATGGTTCCAGAAATCTAGCGCCCAAGTGTCCATGGTATTTAAGTTACAAAGCTCCACCACCCTTGACAGTTCTCTTTCTTTTAAATCCCACATCAGCCTTACCACTCGCACTGCCTATTTCCACCTCCGCCACATCAAACGTCTCCGCCCCTCCCTCTCCCCCAACACCACCTCCATCCTCGTCCACAGTCTCGTCACCTCCCGTCTGGACTACTGCAACTCCCTCCTCTTCGGTCTCCCTTACACGTCTCTCCATAAACTTCAACTGGTCCACAACTCCGCTGCCCGTATCATCACCAAAACCCCCTCGTCCCACCACATCACCCCCATCCTTCAGCAGCTTCACTGGCTCCCGGTCCCTCTACGAATCCAGTTCAAAATCCTCCTGTATACCTTCAAAGCCATCCACAACCTCGCCCCTCCTTACCTATCTGACCTCCTCCACATCGCCACTCCAACACGCCACCTCCGTTCCTCTTCCTCTCTCCACCTCTCTGTGCCCCCTGTTCACCTCAGCACTATGGGGGGCAGAGCTTTCAGTCGCTCTGCCCCCCGACTCTGGAACTCTTTACCATCACACATCCGCAACATAGACTCCCTCCCCCTCTTCAAGTCCAAACTCAAAACACACCTGTTTAAACTGGCCTATCCCTCCCACCACCCCTAACCCACTTTTTTAAATTAAATTTCAATTGGTATTATTAATTTCTTTATTTATTCCTTTGCTGTTGTTCATGTTTAATGTTGCTTTGTTGATTTTAACTGTTTGATGATTAATGATTTTAATTGTTAATAGTGTTTTATTATTGTTTTTATATGTTCTGTAAAGTGTCCTTGACTGACGTGAAAGGCGCTTCAAATAAAATGTATTATTATTCATTTATTATTATTATTAAAGATGACATGACTGGCTAAAGAAATTCATCCTAACAGTAAGCAATGATTTGTAGGTCAGTCTTCTCTGTTCACCTGTGTGATGGATGTAGGCTTCACTGAAAACAGACTAGGCACGTATCTGATTATAAATATCAAATATAATAATGATAAAACAATAAATATAGAATTACTCCTCAAAGATCTTATCTTATCTTGAATAAATAGTTAAGGGTGCGGTTGAATTGACAGACAGATGGGAACATTGTTGCTATTTGCCAGAGGGCCAAAGACTCGCCCCAACCCCACCTCTCTGCCACTGATCCTGACCGATGGTAGGAGGAAGCTGGGGTTTTATTGGAGACATGTTTCCTGAGCATCTCATCCCCAAAGGCAGCCTGATCAACCTCTGTATTTTTAGCTCTGAAGTGCATTCTGTGTTTACATCCTGTGCCGTACATCCGCCACTGCATCATCTCATGGGATTTCTATCACATGTGCTGCAGATTATTTATCTTTTCCTTGACATGTTCAGCGCCTCCAGTGAGTGTCCCTGACACACGCTAACTGTCTGTCGCTAACAGAGCTTTGTGCCTGTTGTCCCTAACCCCCATCTAACAAACAGCCCCCTTTTCCCTCAAGGCCCTACACGCCAGCTCTGGGCTTCTAGCTCGCTACTCTGTGTGATCTTCACCCCGGGCATGACTCACGTTACAGTCCTCCAGAGCTGACAGGTGTGTGATTAAAAAAAAAAGTCCTACAAGTCACTGCTGCCCAGAACGCTGAGTCAAAGAGGCTGTCGTTTCTGAGCAGGACCAGGACTTTGGTTTCTGCTCATTTCCCTCTCTTTCTTTTTCTTTCTGATGCTTCCTTAATAAGAGCAGACAGAGGGATAGAAATGACTCTGTATCTGAAAAATCTCTACTGAAGAGTGAGTGGGCCCGAGCCCTGGGGCAGAGACAAATCACCTGAGGCAGAGTACAACCCTACTTTGTACTTAAAGGCTCTTTTTTTCCCTCTTCAATGTCTATTTCAGTCATGAATAGGTATGAGAGGAAAATGAGGTATTTCCTTTAATTAGAAACCGTAGGTACACGAGAATGTGATCTTTTTGTTCTTTGCCTCATTAAGCTGCATGTATCTAGAAATATGCATCGTGTTCTTACCTGGGTTTAAGTTTGGGCCACCCTTAAGGGGTTGGCCTACTAAAAGTTGCAGGAATAGCATGTGTGTGCATGTGCAGACCCCGGTGAGTGTGTGCAAACTTTACGCACTCTTTTAAAGAAGCGGGTGTGTGTTGTGACAAGAAAGCCACAGCATTGTCTGAGAAAATGAGAAGTGAGGGAGGAAAATGTCAATTCCCAGAGCGGGAGAGTGCGTAATGACTCTCTCCGAGGAAAGGATGGCACACGTACATTGACACAAGGACACACTTGGTCCCTATATTCCATAGCTTCCCCTGCCCCTCCACAGACAGCAGGTCTTCAGGGATCCCCGACTGAGAGGAGTGTATAAGTGTGTACTATAGCCTGTGTGTGCATGATTTCTCCTTCAACTCACTTGTCAAACTTAACCAGGTATCTGTGTGAAGGTTACAACAAGGAGATCTGGTGTCAGAGACAGACAGTGGAAACCGGAAAGGCAGAGTTTTGTCAGGTTTCTTTCTTCATGTTTTGTTAGCATTTTGACAAATGATATAGCTGACTTGGGCTTTTTCTTGCTTTTCAAACAACCCTGCTCTACTTTATTGGCACCTCCGTCCATCACTTAGGAAAGAGATCCTCTAATGTATGAGCAGCGGAGGCGTCCACATGCTGCTCAGTTTTGTTCAGTCAAACAGGAAGAGAAGCTGTCAACACAGCAAGTGTGAGGGCCTGAACGCTTGTGGAAACTATATGTTTGCATGTGTTTTACCCTTAAAAGAAGGAGGGAAATATTCCCCACAGAGTGAATCAGTAATGTTTCCTCAACAGAATGAATAAATGTTATGTAATAGAAATATATGTTTTACAAACATACTAATCAAGTCCAGGGGCAAATGTAGGAGATCTGTTAACCAGAATAATCATATTTTTTCCATATTACAGTCAAACAAATCTTAAATCGTCTTAAAATGCACAAAACAAACACACAGTTAATAGCAAAGCATAGACTTATAGACAGACCAAAGGCTACAGCCGATCAGTGTCAAATTTTGGCAGCCATTTTCGTCCTGGTTTCAGTCTTTGGGTTCAACCGCCTTTATGTTTTTGTCCCCTTTGTGCCCTGAATAGTTTTCGTCTACTTCGTCTAAACATTGTAGTCTAGCTGTGGTCAATAAAAAGTGACTACATTGCAGTCAAAACTTTATTTTGGTTTGATACGAGTTCAAACAATCAGACAATCATTGGTACTAAGTTCGGCCTAGAGATATGACCCTAAATACTTTAGCTGTTATAATACCAATATCTTGACTTAAACTGGGTGATTTAGTTCAGATTCTCCCACAATGCAATGCTTCGTTGCTGTCCCTGCTGATCTATTAAGGCAAAGAAGTAACTGATCTTCGCTCCAATTGAGTTATTCTTTCTTTAGCCACTTTATAACTGGCTAAACTTTGAAAACTTTGTTTTCTTCGACATTCATTTCTTTTTGTGGGGTGGGTTAAGGGGATCCAGGCCCAGCCCCTTGGGTAGCCCAAGAAACACCCCTGGACAGACACGCAGTTTGCCGCACTCTAATCTGCATCTCCATCTTCAATGATTTAGTTGCTTGATCAAAAGTTCTCGAAAAAAAATTTCTGGTGACTGTTTATTATTAACACATATCAGGAAACGTTTCAAGATTAAATAGGAGAAGCATGGAGGCAGAGAGTGATGAACTAACAATTAAAATTTTGCAGTAAAATAACAAAATCAACACTGCAACCCTAAACTTGGTAAAGGAGTCACTGCTCATATTGAGGGGAGGAGTTAGATAGACAATGTTAAAAGATTAGGCATTTCAAATGTCAGGTGGTTCACCTATAACAACTTTGTCTTATCATTGTCTCGTTAATGAAAATAAATGATCAACAGTTTTTGTTATTGGTTATTTTAACTTGTCTTCGTCATGGAGAGAAGGCATCCTTGACAAACATTCATGGTTGTAATTTTCATTAATGAGTTTGCTTCCCAACACAACAAAACTAAGGGTGCTCCTATCACATAATGCAGCAGCTCCGCTGTGAGTTTATCCATACCACAAGCTTGGCTTGAACTTAGAAATTAAAAAATAAGAATAAAAGAAAACAAAAGATAAATGAAAATAAAACAAAACAAACAAAAAAAAAAACTGGCATGAAAATTAACAAAGCATTTACCAAAAGTTAAAGGTAATTTTGACAATATTACCCTCCTAAAAGAGAAAATTAAACACAAAAAAATAATCAGTGAGATTTTCCCAACCAAGAGCATTTGATAGAATGAGGGCACCATAACCAAAACCTCCTTTTAGCAATCCAGAACACAGTGCAACTTTCTCCAAAGTGGATTTTTATCCTCCAGTTCCCACCACCCAGCCTCTGTGGGACTTCTTCCACATCACTGTGTTTCTACCAAGCTTCCTCCATGTTCACATTTGCATGACAGTGAGAGGAGATGAAAGGAAACATTTTGCAGAGCTTGTGCTGACTCGTGGACATGTGTCCTTGTGTTTCATGCCACCGAAAACCAAAGTCAAACTTAAACTGACAAAATGGCTGAGGATTTGATCTTCTGCAGCTGAGCAGCGAGCTGTGAAAAAACAAATCTGAAGAGTTGAGATTTGTGAGGGAAAACTGTCTCATTCTGCAACCAACTCATTGTAAAAAAAACTGTTTTTTAGTAGGAACATTATTTACCAATAATGGCATTACTTTATAAAGCTTAGAGTTAAAATAGAACTGCTCAATTTGAACTAAAGAAGCAGGATATTATCACTACAATATTGGTTTTATTGGCAGACAGTAGCTTAGAAAGTTACGGTGTTGATCCATTTATACCCGCATAATGACAGCCTATGTACACAAACAGCAAGCTCCAACATGTGGGCTGTATGGAAGTATACAAAGTGTCAGAAACAGGCAGCAAAATGGCTGTTTGCAGTCTCTGTGTGAGGCACAGATGGTGGGAGGAGAAGAAAATCAACTGTACTACGAGTTTAAGTCGACATATAAAGAACAATCCAGCACCTGGAGAAAACAGTTAATTTATGGAGGGATAAAATGTTGTTGATCGTGTTTTATTTTTGCCTCAAAAACAAAGAGACAATAAAAGTAACAAATAAATTATAGAGCAGGAGAGACTTGGTTTTCTTAACACTAAAAACACTGAAGTTTTATTTTAATGGCATTTTGGATAATGGCAAAAATCCAATACTGTGCATCCCTCCTTGTAATGTTAAAAAAGCTAAAGGGAGCACAGCCCAGTAAGTTCATTTCAACTTCTGACAACGCAAATACCCAATTAATAGACTTTGGGGTGTTTGAGGTGGCTGATCGGATTGCAAAATGGGGCTAGTCCCCCCTTTCCCCCCTTTCAGCATGCCCCTGAGGGAGTTGTATGCAAACTCTGAATTTTAATTTCTTGTGTGCACTGAGTCTGCTGAGCTGAACTTTATTTATACTAGAACTGGAAGCTCCACAGAAAAAAGTCTATGAACCTCTTTTGAAAACATCACTATCAACTCGACTCACAAGGGCAGCTAGAGCCTGAAAAGTATTAATTTGACTTTCAAAATGGAAGAATTCAATGTTCCTATCCTAGTACTCATAGTGTGATCAGCTGCTATTTTGCCTTCTGCATATTAGCCTATCTGCAGAGAGCTGCTGTGCTGCACTGCAATACAGAGCTATGGAAGAGAGAGAGAAGGAGAGAGAGAGAGAAGGGCATGTTCTTTGAAGTTTCATCGACCGAGTGCCTCATATGTACTCTCACTGTTACTGTCAAACTCATGTCTCCTGCTATGAGAGCCAAGATGAAAGTATACCTTGATCTGTGACGGGCAAAATCTCATCTAATGTGAGTAACTAACTCATAACCTTGATCTAATGTGAATAACTAGCATGTCACAGTGTAGTGTGCAGTCAATGCTGTGTCATCCGGCCCCGTCAGCCCATCCTCCCATTTCTTGACCTTTTTTCTTTTTCTGTAAATCATACATATTTCAAGGGTAGTGCTCTCTGAGCCGCAGACCTGAGGAGGGTCTGAGGCGAGGCAGGAAGTCTTTCAGGTGAATCCTTGTGGATAGAGGCAGTCCCCCCCTCCCCTCCCACAGCTGAGATGGAGAAAAAGGAAACTGCAGATGAACTATTGAAACATTCACTGTGGCAAGGTTATCCGTGTGCGCCCTGGTGACTGCGGGTGTGCAAGGTTGTGTGAGAGGGCTGGGTGAGTTTGCAAGGATTTGTGCACCTGTATGTTTTTCAGGGATTTAACTAAATAGGTACTTGAAATGTCAGTCAATGGTCTCTTTTTTCTCAGAGGTAACTAGGGCTGCTGCAGTATACTGGTATTAATAATAAATGGCCTTTAAAAAACGAAATACTATGATTGTGTTAAAAATACGCATAGAAATATCATTTCTTGGCCATTATAATCAGGAAGTCGGGATTTAAATAACTGTAGTCTCACTTAGTCTCTCTTACTGGAACATTAAGCACAGGCTTCAGATTGAAGAACGCAGGGGCCAACAGTTCTGCTCCTGGCATTTGGAGATCTGGCTTAGACTCCTCTTAAAGATCCCGAAGTAGAGGGTCGTACTACTACATACAGCTAAGTCCTAAATTTGCAGAGGAGCCCAGGCCTGTCACTCTTCTTCAGCCTTTCCTCCGTCTGCCTCATAGCATCACTGACATTGATTTGATCTGACAGAGATGTGTCAAACCACTTCCCCGAGCACTTTATCAAGTTGTCCTCAATGGATGGGATGACCTCACTTTGAACTTGGACACTAAAACCAGTGGCTTAATGAGGCTGGTTTTCAAAATGCTCCTCAGTTGCTAATACAGAAAGATATATGTGGCTTTTCACTTCTTATGACAATAGGAGGCATCTGTACTGAGATTGATCATTTTAAAATTCCATAAATTCCAACAATCAATATCTTTTAGGATGGTTGTCTTCAGCTTAAGCTAAGCATGTTGCAACATTGTGCCAATCACTGAAAAAAAATCGCTTAAACATCTGAGATTTGGTAAATTAATTTAGAACAGTTCATCACTGCAGTATCAACCACATTTGAAGCTCCTATAAGGAACTTTAAGTTTGTGTCAACTTTGGTGCCCCCTGTGGACAAAGCAGTCTTTGTTTTTCTTGTCCCCTACGTGCTTTAAGTAGTCTATTTTCACCAATGCTTATCCAGCCGACATTGGACAGCAAAATGTTTCATTTATTATGAATATTTCAATTAAAATGATGATTGTGGGAAAGTTGCTCTGCTGACACCTCCCTCCTCAAACCAGTTTTTAGCATTAAGGTCTTAACAAAATCATTATCTTCATAAAGAATTTCATAGAGGTAGAAAAAAAAAAAAACTCACAGAAGCTTTAATAGAACCAGTGCAGAGGTAAGGCAGCCATACCCCTGACGAAGACCCTGTACATAATGTTCATTCAGATTTCACTCAGCTGTGTGTCTATATTGCTGTAAATGTACTTCTGTACAGCAGCAGGTGTTGGTTTATGAGCGAGAGTTCATCTAAGCATATCAGGATATTTTTAGACTGGTGGATCCAACAGGCTTACAAACTGTCTGCCATACGTGACAGTTTTCAGCACCATTTTCACACAACAAAATCAGTTAACAAAGACTCAAAAAGCATATTAAACAATCACTTATAAGCCACTCAAATATACTAATGTTACTTTGAGTGGTGCACCATTGTCTGCAAACTGTTGCATGTATAATACCAATTATTCTTCTGTGTGTGAATGTGTGTTTTTGAACTTCAAACTTAAGACCTGATTATAAATTGTATGTTTTATTTTAGAGATTAATAATTTCATTTAAATTGAGAAGAAAAAAAAAGTATTGATTTTTGTATGTGAAGAGTCTTTTGATGTAAAATTTAACACAGGAGAACAGCTCAATGCTCTAAAGATAAATATTTTATCACCAAATATGAGCAGCATGTAATCAGCGCTGCTGTCCACTGGTGCTTTTTCAAGGTCAGTCCTGCAAAGTTAAGTCAAAGGTATACAAGATTGATAAGTAGTTTCCACTGTGTAATTGCAAGAAATACAACTTCACAAAGAAAAGGAACAAAATCCAATGCATACCTTTTATGAGCTCTATATGTGTCAGAATGCATAAAACATTAAAAAGGCACAGCAAAAGAAGCTCGTGATCAAGGTGTCCATCAAAACTGTGACAGAACTGAACCTGAGCAGACAAATGAGATAGAAGTATGACTACATATTTTCATGCAAGGAAGATATACTTCTCAACATATTTTCTGGGCAAATTGTCAAGTTCAATTTGAGAATGGAAACTTCTCTGACAGCTTCCTTGACTTCTCTGTCTTTTCCATTATTCCTCATTCCTGGGCCATCCAGTTTGGCAGATGTCAACCAAGAAATCTGTTTTTGCCGGAGGTTCCTGCTTGTTTTAAGGTTTCTTGGCTCCCAGCTTATGGTCGTGTTTGTCATGGTAGATGAACATTTGCGCTATGTCAGTAGTGTGCTATGGACCTGTTGAATGTGTTTAGCGTTGTGGATCTTTTTTGTTGTGATTTGGTGCAATGATACAGGTTTGAGCTGCTTGAGCAGATTATTTCCCTCAAAACACATCTGAGAAAGTAGGTTTCTCTGATGAGCAGGGCTGAGTAATTGTCAATACTCATTACAGCGCACAGCGAGTGTACCATTCATTACTGAGGCGAGCCATCTGAGGGTTCCCACAGATCCTTAGAAAGTCTATTAGATTAGATTTGTGAAATTTTAAGTCTGATTTTCTCTTGTGAGATGTCTTATATTTTGGATGGCACTTCTGCCAATATGTTGGAATACTTCATCAAAGCTACACTCCTAAGTATATGATTATTTCACATGATACATCATGTGTTGTTTTCACTTATCACCTCCCACTCTGTGTATGTAATGCTCTAATTAGATAGCAAGCATTGGCGTGCATTTATTCACTCGGGCAAAAATTAATATGGAAGAATAATAATAACTGTGACAATCATATGTCGAGAGTCAGGTTTGATCATCTGCAGCCAGAGCTAATAACAATCAGTCAATCAAATTTGATTTATATTGTGCGAACAACAATTGTTATCTTACAAGAGGAGCTGATCTAGACTGTACTCTTCAATTTTAAAGACCCAACATCAAGATAGGGTAAGATTGAGCCCCATTTTGTAAGATCCGATCCACTCTGATCCCATCTTAATTCATCACAAGCAAATCCCTTGGAAGGATTTAACAAGTGACAACAGCAATAAACCTTCTTTAAACAGACAGAAACCTTGAACGGAACAGGACTCATGTCATCTGCTGAGACTGTGTCGGGATTATAAAAATAGGCCATTCTGCATAATGTATACTTTTTTCCTCTTTAAATTGTTTGATATGATTTAGTTCTAAATATTTGATCACTGGGCAAACAGCAACCGTAATGCAACTTGCACGTTTGTAAAGAGCTTTAAGACTTGGGCCAAATAATTTATTCATATTGATATTTGAAATAGAAAGTAGTTTGAATGTAATAATAATAATAATAATAATAATAATTATTATTTTGGTTGATAAAAGGGACTTATAACATCTCACATTTGTTTTTTTGAAAGCGTAGGAAAACCTCTGCATTATTCACTGCGAGTGACAGTGAGATGAAAGATGAGGAGACAGGCTGAATTAAGTTGCTTTGGTGTCACAAGGCATAATTTGACTTGATTCATTGAATAAAAAGAAAAATGATCTGCATTTGTCTTTATCTGAAGGCGCCATTTAGAAAAAAAATCAACAAACTGTTCCTGCAGTTTGTCTTGATGGAGACTGAAATTAATTTGCATTGTAATTAATTTGACTATTTCTCAAACAGTAGGTGGTTTACAGCTATGTGTGTGTCTTCCCGTGTGAGTGTGAACATGTGTTTGTGTGTATCGATGTACACTTGATGGAACCCCTCAGAGTTTTAACACGCACAACTCTTGACCGTGTCCAACCTGTCTGATTCCGCTCATGTTAATTTAATGAGCGAAAAGCATGCGCAGCGGGAGGCGGTCACACCGTATCATAAAACCAAATGAGGCTTTGAAATCAGCAGGCTGAAGCAAAAGACTTTATCAAAATCAATAAGTGCACCAAAGAGGCAAACAAACAAAGTCTGAGAGCAAGGTCAAGGGAACAGGGCCTCACAATCGATGACATATGACTGCATCTGAATGAGATCACACACACATACACACACAAACATACACAGGGGACAATATTCAATACACTCATGCCTGCTGTTGCCGGGGACCCATTAATGACTCCATTGACATCCAGCATGGAAGCTTTCTTCCATCATGCATTGCAGTTTCTCCACACATAGATCATCTATGGGACTGTCGCGTGAATGCCATTAACATCACAGCCAAACGTGATTCCTCTGCCGACACGCCACTGTGAAAAACACTCAAGGTCACGCCCTTTTGATCCTTTCCAAGAGTGAATAAATGGAGATTTATTCTGCATAACTAATGCGTTCATCTATTTAATTTACGACCCTGCTTAGCATTGGATTGGGTGAAGACATTTGTCTCAATTAATAACTGCTCTGCCATTTGCTAAGGTTGCTTTTCTTTAGCAGGACAGCATATTTGCAGGTTTTTATTGGCAGTATTTTAAAAAATGCTGAAAATGTGTCATTCACAGTGCAAAAACGAACCTTTGTGATTGCTCAGTTTTCTTTCCCAGCTCCTCAAAACCCTTGAATATCATTCTTTCTCACTGCTTTTGTGCATCACATTTCCCCGGAGGCTCAACCTAACTTTAGCCTCTCATTATATGCCAGCGCATTGTTCCTGCCTTGCCTCCTTCTTGCTTGTGTTGTAAGTTGGCAATTCATGATTGGGTCCCTGAGGAGGGGTACTAAGTGCCTCCCAGTCTGTAAACACTGAGAAGGCTGACTTATACATGGAGAAGCTTTAGGTGCTGCGAAGACACAAATAACTAAGATGCACATATTTTGACATGCACAAACACATCCTGACACACAAACATGAAATGATGGTAAACATCAACATTAAGTGGTTTGGGGAATAAAAGTGCTTCTCAGACATTTTCCACATATAATCTGCTTTTCTCTCGTGAGGTTTCATCATGTCACCCAAGTCTCCAGAGGGGGCGTTTTTCCCTGACAGTCGTGAACATGAATGCCACACTGCACTAGAGTCAGTCATTTCTCTCCCCAGCTGTCACTTAGCACCTCCCCGAGCTCTGTCTTTGTGTCTACCTGTCGGTTTTGCTGTCTGCTTAGATGTCTGTCTCTCTACGTCCCTGTCAGTGGGTCTGTCGAAACTTTGTTTTCCAGCAGCCGTCACAGCCTTTATCTCTGTGCATGTTGGCTAACAGGCAGACAGGTATGCGCACACGAACCCGTGTTAGTCAGGGTTCTTTGTTTTCTGCTACTGATTGTTATGCAGCATATCAAATTAACATAAACTGTGTTGGTAACTTATTGCAGGTTGTCAACAACAAATAAATGATCTGCAAAAGACAGAATAATATAGGGTTGCACAAGCCAGAAGACATTTTAGAAGATTATTATGCATTGAAATTAAGCCAAAAATGTGTGTAAACAAAGGCTGTGAGGTGCTCTCTTTTTCAAGCTCCTTTAAGGGCTTTTTTGACATTGACGACATAAACTAAAATTTACATCTCTCCCTTTGAATATAAAAAAGCAAACAAGTCCACAAGTGACAAGATTTAGCGAAAATCAAAGGCCTGTTTTTACACTTTCTATGTAAGCCAGCGGGCTAAGATTATTTGTCAAAAGCGACGACTTAAAAATGAAGAGGACAAAATAGGCCCATAGGGGGGTGCAGAGTTTTGTGGTCTCCTCGGACCACCTGAATTATGAAAATCAAGATCTAGCAAACATGTCTTCGCAGAATTTTATAAACAGTGCTCTTAAATACTTTGTTTATAAAGCTAAGGGGGAAAAAACACACAAAAAGAAGTATGATAGTAGCCCAAACTTTAGTGCTTTGAGATGTTTGTTTTACAGATTTGGGCTATCATGACTCCAGCAGACCGGTTCAGTAAAAGATACAGGACTGTTCTGATATTGGGATGAGGTGTTATTTAATTGAAAGTCATGAGGTCGGACCGGCAGGCAGATCAAATACGCAAGCATACAGCACCCACCGGATCCAATCCCCGCTGCCATCGGAAGAGAATCGATTGCGAGATTACCGATATTTCTTGCGAGACTGGACGTGATCTTATTAGATCTCACATGTTTCCCCATGAGACATTGAATGGGATCTGACGATCAGTGTATATAAACAGCCTATTGTCAAGTAAAGAACAGTTCAATGCATTGACTTTATTTTGAAAATTAACCAGATATTTTACTCTGTAACCAGATACAACTTCCACTGCAGCTTGTGCTGCGCTGCTCTGAACTGATGTGCCGTGCTCCGGCGTCCGGCAAAAATAGAAGCCTTGCGTATCTGATCCGGCCACCGGAGTCGATCTGCAGCGGAGCCGAACGGCGGACGGATTCTGTGGAATGACACACATTGATTATAATGCTTGGGTATTAGATCCGCCTGCCATGCCAGAGTGGAGCAGAGCCGTTCAGGATCCTGTGGGTTTTGCCCGTTACACTGCTTGGTATCCATACTTTATGTAAGAAAAGTTTGGAAACACAAGGTAAATGTATAATGTCATAATCCTAGTTGATGTAAGCTGCTCAAAATCTCTGACAAATGTGCAAAAGGTTCTGCCTTACTGCTGATGATGAGAGCCTTTCAGAGTTGGAATTGTAAATATTAAACATGATCAATATTTATGATCAGAATTCTTATCCCAGAGGACAGTTGTCCATTGCCATCTGACTTGTTGGGTTTCCCATCCCTCTTAAACATACATTTGTGATTATCCAAGGCAGTGTAACGTGGGCCTGAAAAATAAAAACAAATCTTTCAGATAATTGGATCAATCACAATTTTCCAACCAAGGCATATAGTACCTTACACTGAGCTGGTTTGATTTTACCAAGGCAGACCTTTAACAACCACAGCAGCTCGATGTGAATCGGTCATTACAACTCTGGACAACCGCTCACGTCTGCCCGTCTATCAATATGAAGCAGTCAATCTCCCCGTCCCTGACATTCACAGTTTAACACATCGAAAGAAAACTTTTCTTTTACATGACCGATCTGTGACGCACATTAAACCGTTTTTGTCTTCCAGCTGTCACTCTCTGCTCCTCTCCCTGTCTGGTCACATCCCACTCCACCCTCCATAAACACACTCTCATAAAGACAGCCCACTGGAGGCAGGAAGGACACCTTCTCCCTCTTTTCCCCTCTTTGTCACCTCCACACTTCTTCTCTGTTTGCACTGCATCCGTCCTGCACGGTGTAATATTTTTCTGTCTGACATGAGGTGTAGCACCTCAGTTAATAGCCGCTGACTGCTCCCATGAGCTATGCTTTGAGGAAAAAGCAAAATTACAGGGTGCTGAAACTGACAGGTGAGGCGCAGCAAGAACCCTCTTTTTTTGGCTATGAAACCCTTCTCTCAAGTGATTTAGCCTTAACACCAAATGAGTAGAGTAAACACAGGTACACAGGCACTCCAAGCACTTTAACTCACCTCTGTGTTTTTAACCATGGACACCCACTCATGCAATGAAAAAGAGCACCAACATGTACGAATCAAAGCAACCTTTCTTGTTAAGAAAATGCGCTTTTCTTTGAGGTACTTGACAACACTCGCAAGGATGAATGCAAGGTTTAAAGCAACTGACAGTAAAAGAAATCTTTAAAAAAAAGACATTAAATGCAACACAAAACACTTAAAGAAGATAAGAAATATTGTATCATGCAAGGCTAGGGAAAGTGCTCATCCTCAAAAGACAGAGAGAAAACATTTTCTACATGGCAGGTCAGTCTGGCTTTGCTATTTTTTCCCCTCAGATATCAAACAGGGAGAGGAGATTGAAGAGGCGTGAAGACAAATGTTATTGAACAGTATGAGAGAGGGAGTGGAAAAAAAGTCAAAAGCAGAACAACAATGGACAGCTGTGAGAAAGGAAGAAGGGGCATTATGTGGGTTGTTATGAGAGCAAAGCATGCAGAGAGAAGGGACAGGAGAGGAAAAGAGGGAAAGACCAGCAGGGAGAGAAACGGACAGAGGACGTCCATCAAAGAGCCATCTCTCTGCTGCGCACAGCAGCCGACACGCTACGAGTGAAGGAGACAGCGTCAGAAGAGAACAGGCTGCCCATTAAAAACCAGGAGAAGAAGAAAAGAAAAGGAGAAAGAGGAGTGGGAGAAATCCTCCCTGGCTCTCTCCAGGCCTGCTGAGAGGCGATGATCAGACTCTGAGTTTAACATCAGCTGCTGATGGGCATCAGGGTCCTCCCAACCTTCACATGCCTCGTCTTTTTCCTCCACTTTTCATCTCATCTCTCTACCTTTTCCCCCCTAGCCAGACTGCTCTTATAATTGGCTGTCCAACGGTGCTGGATCAAGTACTGCATGTGTGTGGACATGTCTGTGTTTACATATTTATTGTGGATTTCTCCATGAGCTACATTGGGATTTTCATCTCTTTATGACTTTTAGATGACTTTGAGAGGAAGGTGATCTCTGAAACTATGTTCGGTCTGCTCTGTTTTAAAATAAACATCACAGCTAGAGTGTGCGTCCCGTTTGTAAACCAATCCTCCATTGAAATGAGCAAAAGTTACATGTTACCTCCCTGATAAGTCCCTGCGCCGCACATTTGGGAAAAGACTTAATACCACTTCTTTGCATCCTGAACCTGAGAAAGTAATGTAAGCTGCATCATATGACCCTATGGTTAATGCATGACCAGAAACATCGCTATTCAGGTCATTTTATGGAGTAAAATTTTCTGAATGTGCAGTATGCCCAATCCATCATAACGCAAAAGACTGAACTGCTTGAATTATAAAACTGTATTAATACATTAACATATATGCCGCCCACACAGTTCCATCACCCACAGATATTACACAGGGTCACATCATTGATCTTTCACTGACACAAACCAGCTGCACTGTGGGTCGGGACTGCCATGCATCACAGGATGAACAGGAGGTCAGTGGTCAGATATGTTTTCATTTCTAGTCTGATATGATTTTCCATCTTCATCTATCAGATCTTGTAGTTTATTTGCGGCCCTGCACACCGCTGCTGTATCTTCATTAGAAGCCCAGAGGACGAGAGATTGGTATTCAATCTGTGATTTTTTTCTTACTCGTGTTACATGTGCTGAAGATTTGTTTGCTTTGCAGAGCTCTGGTTAGCTCCATAGATTTTTGTGGACTAATTTATGACCCATCACGTCTGCTCACTGAGGTTGCTCTATTAGTCGTACAGTATAAATTGAGATCCGTGACATCCTTTGGCCATCCTTTCTGTCTCAGTTGCCCCGAGCTACCGGCTAATCCATGTAACCAATTAAGAAAACACTTCATGAGATACTTAGAGACTGAAAATGAAGGTGGCATTGCTGACTCTTGGGGCGTGCTTTAACTGTGAAATAACAAATTAGCTCCATTTGCTCTGAAAATTCATTATCACAATTTGGGAGGAAAAAAAGCATGAAAGTCAAAATTCATCCTCCGATCTTTAACTGAAGCGCCATTGCTCGTTACCAAATAAAACAGGAAAATGCGGGAGATGAGACACCCCTGGCAAACCAAAAACGGGAAGTTAATTACGCAGCACCTCATCTGCTCCACTCGTAACCGTGTCTTGTTTTTACTTCTGAAACTTTCTCAAGCATAAAGACATTAATATCAACTCTCTGTGCGCTTCCCACTTAAGTACTTCTTTTTCTGCCACTTTAGCTTAGATTAAAAGCAGAAGTGAGTAAAACCTCCCCGCTCTCTTCTCCACCTCCGACACTCCATCTCAGTTTGTGCCATTTTCCTCTTTTACTTCCCCCACATGTGAATGTTCCCTAACTCTCTTTTTAATGCCAGTCACTCTACTTCAGCTGGGGCCCATGAGAGAGGGAGATGTCTGTGTTTGCGTTCCCTCATGCATACACATGACCACACAGTGAGCGCAGGGAGACTCCTCGGAGAGCTCTAAGTCCTATTGAGAGTGATGTCACATACTCTTCCCCAGTGTCTGTGAACAACAAATCACCTTCTGCACGTCTATAATACATATCCCCATCCACCCCTGGAGGCTTTATCGGCTAAATACCCTCAAGCTGGAGATCCCAGACATAAGCCCAAGTGTAAATTTGCTCTGAAGCTTAAAGGACACGTTGCACTGGGAGACAGCCTGATAAAAGCCACCATTAGAGCAGCGTTTGGGGCCTTTTCTTTGTAATGAAGATGGAGGAAGTGCACTCCAGACAGTGTAGGAAAGCAAACAAACCTTAGCTGTATTTGAGCTTGGAGCTATAAAAGGTTAAGGAAAGAGGACAGGAAACACAGAGGACAGCGTTTATGTATGTTTGAGCACATTTTAAGGTTAGATACAGGTACATGTACTTCACATACTGAATGATAGTTGATATTTACAGACACTGCACTGCAAACACAACAAACAGTCTTTTATCATCAGCACATCAAATGTGTAAATTAGCAACAAGCTCCTTAATTTTCTGACAATAAACAACTTTTAACCATAACTGAAGGCTTCATATGTGGAGACAAACTTAATGTTCAGGCTTGTGCACTTAGCACCGCTCCTAAAATAATGACGAAAAAATGTCTTTTGAGAGCATTCGCATATTATTGCCTGATAACTAGAGCTAGTTCTTCTTCCAATCAGCTGGCAAAAATAAAATTAAGGTTAAAAACTGGAGATTAGTCTTAAACATAGAATAGCACTCAGTGTAAATAAATATCGGTCTATTTGTGCTGCTGTGCCAACTCTTCAAACTACAGACACACAAATTGATCTCCAATGACACCATCCATTATTTTATTTCAAACTTAGGGCTGTAATCAACCAAAGAAATTCTTGGTCGACTAAAACCCTGAAATTTTTGACCAAAAATCGACTAATTTGGGGTTCTCACTCTGACGGCAAACCCTTCTGCGGTGGGGGATGATGTGGCTCAGCACAGCGCAGCACAAGGAGGCAATTAAACGTGATGAAAGTTGAAAATGAAAAATAAAAATAAATATTGAGCAAATAGTGGTGTTGATTAACATGGATGCTCTCAAATCTTTCTGTCTCCAGCCAGTCTCCAGTGGGTTGAGCGAATCCAAAATGGTTAAGATAAGAGGGGTGTTCTGAGACAGGCTGTTACCTGTGAAAAGAAGGTGCTCTGAAAACACCCCCATTAGCACTTGGTATGTTCCTCCTGATGAAATTAGCCATAGACTGTAAATTGACACGAAAAAACATCAAGTCCACCAATCAGAATTTTGGTCGACACAGCACGTATCAACCAATAACAGCCCTTACTGCCACTCCGAAAGGTTCATTTTCTGAATTTCACATTTAGTTTTGTAGGGATGATTTTGAGACAGTAAAGGAGAAAGCATTGTAGCCCAGCAGTGAATTGAATGGTTGCAAAGCTGAACCAGAGCAAACAATTCTGTTCCTTTGGGGACTCACAGTTACACCCTGTGACTCGGCCAGCTCCCTGTCACACAAGTAGTCCAGTGCCAGTGGATAAAATACCAAAGCCAGTTCTGGGACCCGCTGGTGTAAACAAACCCTTTTACAGGAAAATTAAAAAGAGGGGAACTGATGATCCTGGACATAATATGAGCTGCCAAAATGCAGAGTACCACACATGCACACTAGATAAAATCTAAGCGGTAGACCTGGCCGCTGTGATATCAACAAGTTGGTGCGCTTTAGCTGTAGCTGACTATAGAGAAAAACTGTAGTTCAGCTGTATGGTTGTTGACATGTTCTTATGTTTCCTTTTATGAAATAAATCTATTCATTATTCATTCATGCTTTTCATTAAACTGAATTTGAAGCCTCAACATGATATAACATCTTAACATCATGACTCTAGACTGATCTTTAGAAATCAAACCTGAAAGTAGCATGTTTCATTTCACTCTCAGTTGGGTATTTTATATAAAAAGGCTTAAGAGTATACTTGTATCCAGCTCATCATGGAACAGCATTTCACAAACACTTCTCTGTAGCTCCATTCTTCAGCTCAGGGACTGCCAGCCTATCTGCTCATGCTAGAGGCATCCCTGAGCCTGCATGTGCATTCAGGAAGTGTACTGTGTATTCATGTGTTTGACCTCACAAATTCAATCTTGCGGCTGTGGTTTCAGGTGAAAGCAGCCCTGCAGTGGAGAATATGTGTTTCATTAATTTGCAGTGGTGACCTCCTGAGTTGTTCACCTTCATCAGGCCTGCAACTGAATCCTAAAATCGCTCTCCACCGCAGCAAGTACCTCTGTCAGAGTAAGTAATGGGTGAGTGGGAGGCTCCGTGGGGATATGGAGGCCACAGGTTCAATTTTGGAAAACTTATACTAGTGTCTGTCGATGAGCTTGTGTATTTGTGCAGCGGGAGTTCAAGCCAAGTGGCTCTACTTCGTGAATGTACTCTTGGTGATAAGGGCCACAGCTGAAGAGGACATGTGGGTGAGCCAGTGGAGGTGATGGGTTATTAAGACCTGAGGTGAAAAGGTGGGGTCAAGATCAGGGCGCAAAGGAACCAAGGGCAGGATCATGGATTACTTCTTACTTCCTGGGAGATTGCTTTGGAACACATAGATGCAGCCTTGGAGTTAATAAACAGCTATGTGTGTGTGTGTAAGTGTGTGTGTGTGCAGTGATTGTGAGGGGCGTTGTTGCAGAGTATTGAATAAAAAGTGATAAAACTCCAACTTTAGTTTGAGACTGTAGACTCTCCTTCTTCCCAGACACTTGGTGCATTGCAGTGAACAAGTGTCTGCATCTGCAGTGAAGCAAATACAGAAAGAGCTTATGATTTCACACAGGACTCCAGGTACTGCTTCACATCCTAGTTACAGATGTTTTCACGAAGCCTTTCATGTGCTCCATGTGCATTTTTTCTACCCCTGATGTAAAATTGTTCTGCAACCCAAAAAGTAGATAGCATTCCTCTCCTGATGTGTGTTCTCCTGCCAGTGATTTAGCATGCACACTAATCCACTTAGATCTACAGTGAGCCTGCACAGACTGTAAAACTAAAAGTAACATTTGTACATGAAATGTCACCCCAGATTTACAGAATCTGAGATGCTTTGCACATTTTTCAGAGACTGAGTTAAATTCTCATCCAGCTTACTGCGAGCATAACATATTTGTACCACAGCTCATGAATGGAAAGCACAGTGAAGCTCAAGGGGCTTTCCACATGGCATCAATATTCATGGCAAAATAGTAACAATAAATATACTCGGGTATTCTTTATTTTGACATGCATTCTCAAAAGTTTTGTGTGTTTGAAACTCTGCAATCCTGCCGTATCAGAACTGTGTGGAGGAGGTTTGATTAGACCTGATTGAGATGAACAAACAACCCTGCTGAGCCTGTCATCAGATTGTGATTCAGAAGTTGCCCAAGCCTGATAGGTTTGTTGAAACATGAGAAATCAATTTGCACTGCATCCGGACACAGCTGATGATTCCTTTCATAACAAAGCATCATAAAAGATGTAGTCTTCTTCTTTAATGTTACCAAAGAGTGTGGTCTAAACCTGATTTTTCAAAGAATGCCTTTATAAATGCACCTTATGAATAAAGATTAATTGATTGATTTGAACTATTAAAATACCACAATGGTATCACAATTAGCAACAATGCCCTCAAGTCTATTTTTGGAGGGGCTCCCATATAAAAGAAAGGTTAAAACTGTTTTCCTGTGTGATAACCTCCAATGGGTTCAGCAATGAGCTTTTTTGTGCAACTGTGAAGCTCTTTCAAATACCATCTGTATTTTTCCATCCTAAGGGTGACCATAAATCCTGTTTTACCCAGACATGTTCTCTTTTAGGACATGTCCTTCAAATGTCCACGGTGTTATATGGAAGTTTTGAGTTGTGTACCGTGGACTAACTAAGTAAGAAACGCATAAAAAGAATTCAACCCGACCAGAAAAACCCTCAAGACTTTGAGTGCAACTCCGCCCGTGTACTCGTGTCCTCTTTTGAGTGATTCAGAATATGGTCACTCTAGCCATCCTGCCAACTGCAGGTGAGCTCAGCTTACAGGAACATTTCAATCTCTCTCATTTCTGCATTTAAAACATTGTCTTCTTCATCATAAATAGTGTAATGTTCTGCTGTTAATGCGCACTAGTGTTTGTTATAGAGGTTACACAGCCAGTAATAGAAGAGGGTAGAGAACCCAGATCGTTACCTAGATCCTCACGCTTGAGTTTGATTGCTCCTTGATCTGTTGTTAATGCCTTTGTGATCCAGTAGGGGGCCCACACTCTGCTTCAGAGTGAGAGAAAAGAGCAACATATGTGTGGTTTTCCTCATTCTAAAATCACCACTATTTCCCTTAATTAAGGGTATGACATCTACTTGTCGATGTCTACTCATCTACTTATCCAGGAATCAAACCTGCACTTCGTAAGCTTTAATACACCATTGTTTTCTTCAAATTTCTGTAAGTTGATGAGGTAGAAACCTCTTAAAAGTGGTGCCACCAGCTTGGTTGCCATGTCTTTGTATCTAACAGGCTTGGTACAGTACATGCAGTGGGTTACAGAAGTCATACTACTGGTATTTTTGTCTGGAATGAGGATGTTCCAGTTTACCGGTATTGGTGATAACTCTCTTTTTATTTTTATTTTTTATAGTTATATATATGCTTAAAAAAGAGCATGCGTCTTTATTTTGCATCAATAATATGTTTTAACTAGAAAATTCCCTCTGGGGTTACTGCCAGGGTGTGTGTGCTATAATGAAATTCTTCAGAGATTTCAAATAATTTATACTTTTACCACTGTGATATTATACAAGGAGCACAACTACAAAAAATGTCTTTTTTGAATTATTTATTTATTATACAGAAAAAAAATAGCCAGAGCAGTAGATGTTTGAAAAACTCCAATAACTGCTTTTTTTAACTTGTTCCCTTGACTTCAATGCAAGTTTTTCAGGATTTTATTTTCGCAATTACTGTCTTCAAAAATTCATATACAATAGAGAAAAGTAATAGAACACCAATCCTGATCAAACTGCATGTTTTGAGTTATGATTTGTCCTACATCTCCTCAAGCTGTAGGATTAATAGCAAATTTAAATTTGTCAGGAAAAGGAATGAGAAAAATATCCATAGTATAACAAAAGTGCTTTGGTGCATTGGCCCTGATTAACTATAATGTATTTAAGGAAACATTAACCATAATTATTTTCTCCTTCTCCTCAGAAAAAACCTTTCACATGACTTTTTAAATGTATTGCAGGGAGTGAAATGGCTATTTGAATAACATTTGCTTTACATTTTGGGTTGTAACGCAAATATTTTGTATTCATTACCAAAGCCTTTATCTTATTTTGAGGTTAAGCCTGTCTATTATGAGTAAACTGCTTATTCTAACAGTAAAGTTTGTACTGGCAGTGCTGGAGAGAAAGAAAAATATGTTGTAGATAAATGCAACAAAGTAACACTATACAGTCAAGATGGAGAGGATTAACCTTGAATCGCTCAACAAACCGCCCATTTAAAGTGGGGAAATGGCTTTGGAAGGCATTTCATGACCAGTGGGCAGGTGCTATCACTGGGATGGATGGGCTGAAGGAAACCGTGAGATAGAGAGATAGAGGAACAACTGTGAGCTGGTCTCAGCTATAGGGTGAGATGAAATCAGCGTGGGACTGACAGGGCGAGGATAGGATGTTAAGGAGGAGCAGTGGGGAAGGTCAGAGGGTTGAGGAGAAAGGCAGCAGGGGAAAAAGGGGTCCGGCGGGCAGATTGCCATGCCGACCACTGATAAGGATTGGTACCTATGGGTGGTGGCACCAAGTAGTTGTTTACCCCAAGGGGTGCTCTGCGAAATAAAATGCAGGAGAAGCAATTGAAATTTAAAGGAGATGGTATAAGGAAGAGATGAGATGGAGTAAAGCTACTAAATGTTAATGAATTTGTCCTTGGTGAGATCTTTTTTGTTTATGGGGTGTGATAAATTGTGAAAATGCACCCTGATTAAACAGAAATCTGCCTCATTTAAGGCATTCAAAAGATTAAAGAACCAAGAATAACCCCAATTATTTCAGTAACAAGTAATTCTTTGGGAGGAAAACACACTGCATCTTCTGGAATAATGTTTTATTCAATATTTCTTGCTGTGTGATGCTATTTCAACAACAATGAGATCAATGTTAGCGTTTCCCTTGTTCAGTTACTTTGGTATTCTAATGCAGTAAGACAATGAATTACGAACTTTGTACTTTCACAGACTTTGGCTTGATAAAAGTTTTGCCTTAAACTCATTAAACTTCAACACAAAAGTTGACTCAATTCGCTTGTGTTCAGTAACATTATTTTTAAGGACCGTTATCGATGGACTAGTGCCATGTGAAAGAGCTACTTTCAGATTTGGAATAGATCTCACTCCAAGTGTCTCAAACTCAAAGAAAAGTTTAAGAAGCTTTCTGAAAACTGTATGTTAGTTTCAGATATTTTATGCCATATAAAAACACTGACATTTATACCCGTCCAATGTCAGATCGTCAGCATCATCCTTTTCACTCTGCTGTAGTGATGCTCAAGTGTGCCCCCGGATATCAATGTCACAGCTACAGTGTGGTCTAATGTGCAACAAATCACACTTCTGACCAAACACAACCCGCATCACTGATGCCTGCTGAAAACAGCTCTGCTGCCCGATGTGAACTTCAAGTTCACTTTTCATGTCTTAAAAAAACTTTTCAAGGGCTTTGAACTGTTTGCGTGTCAAGCTTTGAGAGTTTTTGAGATGTGCTGTGTCTCCCCAAAGTTGAATGTGGGTGTGTTCATGATCTCTGGACTCTACATTGGCAGAATCATTTATAATCATCTGTCAGAGTACCTTGGTGAATTAAATAATGATATAGCTAAGCCAGAATGTAGTGCTGCTAGAGATAATGGCTTTAGATCTGGCTTGTAGGCTTTTGTTTTATTGAAGGTGCAGTCTGTAGTATTCTGCTGCATTGAATAGAACACACTCGGTTGAAATGGGATGTAATATACTTAAACTAAGCCTGACATAAGTTCAGGTAGGAATGGGTTTTGCTGCTGTTGTTCTCCCTGCTGCAGACTTTGGCGTTTAAGTGGGTGGAAGGACAGGGAGCCCCCAGAAAAGAGCCCTAATAGGGCGCTCACACCAAGCGCGAGTAAACTCGTCTACACGCTTAATTTGCATGAATCTAGACGTGTAAATGAATATTATTTACTCATTTAATTTAACAGTAATTTCAACAGTAATCCCTGCCAATTCAAAATGGGATCAAGTGATAGGTAATCCGACCGCCTCACTCACTGGCGAACTCCTTTTTATCCCAGTTCCGTAATTGAAAGAAAAAGTATCACATTATTCGGGGCACCCACACACCAACACGATCAGTTTGTACTCCATCCTGGATACCAGTGAACAACCCTCCATTTTCATACATCACCCATTAACTTTCATGTTGATTGGTTATCGCAACCCAACCCCTCAAGTTGAGAAATTTTCAGCTCCAGCCCAATTGGCGTCATTCGTGCTGCAAGAGTTGTAGGGGCGTCTAATTGCGTCTATGCATTGACTTAACATGTAATTCAATCGCACAAGTGATTTTAATCGCGCTTGGTGTGTGGAGACAGTAATGCTTAACGTAGCTTATGCTCTACAAAGTATATGCTTTTTATTCATCTTAATAGACGAGCATAAGGAGTGCAGACTGAATCTTACCACCTCAGGGGTGCTGCAGATGCATCACAAATAAGCAAAACAAAATTGAGTATTTCACTTCCTGTCAATTCCTATTATACATACATGAAGTTTTAAAGGGCCTGACTTTTGAGGATTTGTAAATGCTTTGACTGATCACACAATAGGTTTTACCAGCAAGGTATGCTGCATACTGTTCCCATCATGAGACAAAACAGCGATTAAAAATTAGCATTTAATCCCTGGAGGAATGTAATGATTCTAGGTAGCTGTAAGCTCTGACATATTTACTTAAGTTCCCCTCAGCACTGTGAGGGGCCCCCCTTGCAATCAGAGCTGCATTTACTTTTCCTTATAAGCACAGACTCTTTATCAGTGTATGAGCAGAAAATACAGAGAGAGAACAGAGGCAGAATAACGGTGTGGAGGACAATGAGGTGGGTGGGTGAGCGAGCAGAAAAAGAGCCACTTTAACTGTTTGGGATTAGAAATAAAATATATTACCCTCAAAAAATGAAGCACATTATTGAACGGGCTCATACATTCACAGATGAGAACTCCCAAGCAGCATGAAATATGTATCAGGCTGAGATATGGTTTTCTCTCAGAATAATAATCAACACTGTGGACAGCACAGAGCAGTAAAGACAAAATCAAATTCCACAGCCACCCGCAGACACAGAGTAAGCTGCTCGCATCGCAGCCACTAGCAGCTCCCTCCCAGGGGGAATCTAAATTATGTTGCTAGGCTCAAAGTTCATGCAGGCTAGACAAAGTTGTCATTGAAACACCAACTGTGTGTGTGAGCCTCCAGCTGCTGCCTGCTAGTTAAGCTGTCAGAATGTCTGAGTTTCTGAATAGAGAGCACCATTTCAAATCTTTTGGGAAAAATTTGTTAAGAAATGTCGAAGGTTTTACTCCGTCTCTATCTGGAGAGCCTGTACTGTGTATTTTACATATAAATGTGTTTGTGTTTACAAGACTTGTAAATGTTGCCACCTTGTGATAAAATACTTAGCAGCGATACTTCTGCCATTTCCCAGATATTTGCATATTTGCTGAAAAACAACAACGGTTGGCGCATTGCTTTTCAAAGCAGCTTCACCAGTTATTGCTCACGGGGTCACGTCGGGTTGGAAACGCCATCAAATATCCACTGTTGGCGATTCATCAACATTGTAATTCGGCATGAGAATGGCTTTCCATTTCTTTACTGGCAATAGCTGAAATAACTGGCTGGAAGTGAATGTATAAATGATTCAGAGCAAACACTGCGGGGGTGAAAGTGGTTAACTGTTCAGCAGAGGCGAGTAGAAATTAGGAAAGGTGCCAAAATTTGACCTGTTTTGCAGTCTACGATGAGCAAGGGATAAGGGCTTAGTGTGTAATAAACTACAGCAAATAGTGCAGCTGTAAAAACACTAAACTAGAAATGCAGCAAATGTGTGAAAAAAGCATCATCAAGCAATTTAATGCCACTAACAAAAGCACAAATTACCCTCAGTGAAAACCAAGCATTCTGTATGTGTCCTAAAAGGATGTTTCTACTCCCCATTGACCCATGATGTAGCTTCATCGTGTTGCATGATGACCACCAGCAGGTACAGGGTGACCAGGTATACGCCCAGCTGCAGTACATTCTGCAAATTATTGCAACCCCTTGATTTTGTTGTGTTAGTTTAGCCTTTTTACTAAAACTCAAATCATTTACCACTGTGCTCCAAACGCTCCGGAAAAACGCATTAGGAATGGAGTTTTAATGGATATTGAGCATTTAGTTTAGTCTCATTTGGTATTTGACCAACTCCATCTGTACTGTTTGTGCTACTTTGCTGTCAGCTGTCTATTTCTTATTATTCAGGAGAATGGGATTTACAGATAAATAGAAACTTGCTATTCAAATGAGCAAATCAAAAATGCCCATTTGGTCTCAGTGTACTTAGTCTTCTTAATATGGAATAGCCTATTAAACTTGATTAAGGTTAGAGAAGCAGTGCCTGACAGTCAGTTAAAGGAAATAATCTAACTTGATTTGAGTAACCCCTAATTTCCACCACATCTGGAACAGCTCCGCGGTGGAACGGTGGCAATTTTCACTGTTTGCCAATTCCTACCGGGTGTGTTTGTGAGGCGTTTGTTTCAGACAGTGGGAATCGCGAGAACTCATAAGAACCTGCGGATTCGCATGCAATGGCACAATAACGAGTTGTCTCTATAAAGACAGTTACATAACCATATAAGCAGCAGATTGTGTCCTTCCAGAGGAGGAAATCCACTTCTAGACTTATAGAATCAGCATCTCCTCATCCATGGTGTCAACGGGGTGAAATGATGTCTGAAAACCTATGACTTGTTCATCCCTGCCCACGTTTGCAAGGTGTGAAATATGGTCCGCCTGAAACACGTAGTGTTTTATTTTGAAAAGAAGCTAGATGTTTTATTTTGTGTCTGTGCCCGACTTCCTTTCCAGCATGGGCTAATCTGTGCTGAATCCATGCAGCATGCTGTAGCGTCCAGAAAAAATAGAACCCTCACGATCGGCTGGGGAGTCCACTGAACCGCAGCGGGACGGAAAGAAGCCAGTGGAAATTGACACATTAACTTGAATGGAAACGATCAGCTGTGACTGGTGCATATGGCCTCTTCTGCGCGGTTCTGGATGCGGTGGAAATTGGGGGTTAGAATCAGTTTCCTGTGTTACTGTCAGACATTTAGCGGATTGATCCAGTCACACTAAGCTCATCTCATTGGAGGCTTTGTGGTTTAACAGAGAAAGGATCTGACTTCCACTGTGACAAGGACTATGGCCTCTGTACATTGGAGAACCGGCTTTGCCAATAAACAAACTGGCCAACCTTTGTGGCTTTAGTCATGATGCAAGCTATTTCAATCAATCACAGTTTTACCTTGTGCTTATTTTTGCTTCTATCAATATGTCTTTTTTTCTTGACCATTATTATCAATACCCATACTGTATATCGCAGCGGCCCTGCTTGGCTCTAACCAACACGACATTTTAGAGCTGCCAGGCTTTGTGGCAGCCAGAGCGGCTTAAAGTCTCCTTGTCCATTAAATACGTGTGGCTCATGCAAATCTCTCCACTTTGCACAACGCTCACAACAGCCGATTGTACACTACCTACTCAGCATGAAATGGCAGAGAACCAAGGTAAACAGACGAACATCTGTCCAGCTGGAATCTTGGGGTTCAAATTAATTTTAACATCTGCTGAGAAACATTGTTCGTAGATTGCCCATGTTGCTCTGTTTCTGCTAATTGTTGACGGTCTTTTAATGTTTAAACACAGATAACCACAGCAGAATGACAAACGATATGAAGGCTTTCAGCTGAGTTGATATTTTCTGCCCCCAGTGCTCCCCCAATTGCTAAAAGCAGCTTTAATGAAGAACAATGTCAAGAAAGGAAGATTTCCACATGAAGAATGACAGGTAGAAGAAAATCTAAGTGATTTATTAAAGGATCTCATTAGCCTGGGATCAAAGGGCACCTGAGTGAAACGTTCACAGTTCACGTCTTGTCTTACACGGAGGAGCAGCTGGGAAATACAAAAAAGTGAAAGAACCCTCTGTTGAGGAATTCAATTGCTTTCGACATTTCAGCGGCTCCGGCAGTCACTGATAAAGTTAATAGCTAAGAGAACTGGGAATTGTGACTCCTTCACATCCTGACAAGAGTGGGAGAAGAAGAATCAGAGCCGAAGCAGAGTTGCAGGGAAGCACTTATTTACATCTGATCTTTTAGCTCCATCTTCCTGTTGACAGAAATGAGACATGGCTGCAGCTAAGTTGTTTCACTTCTCAGCATTGCAGACTGACAGCTCTCTGGGGGCCAAGATTTGCGGCATCTTGATATCTCAATGATTCCTAATTCCTTTGATAATATTCTTCTTGTTTTTTAGTGACATACCGTATCATTTTACCACATATTGCTGTCACTTTCCTTCTTCAAAAGACGCCATGTTTGCGAGGCCTCATCGACTGTGGTGCCGGCTCTAATGCAGTGCACTTTTCACTTGGCTGTTAGCTATTTGGACACTGACACTTTTTGATGGTTTAATTATTTGCTCTTATCATTTCGGCTGTCAAATCACACTCCAGCTCTGAGGTTAATGTACCAGAAGCTTTGCTTGATGATGATTTTTTCCCCCTACATCTTCATGAGATGAATTCTTGTGAGAGTGACAGCACCGGAATTACATAGTTCACAATTTCTGTTCCAAATCTGACAGTGAAGCGAGTTTGAGTGTTTAATACAGTATTTAAATTAACTATTTTTTTTATTCCCTCAAATACCATCAGGCTTGATACTTTGTCGGTACTTGTTCATATTTTAGAGTATCCACTTTGAATTTGTAACAGACTCTTGACTCTTGATAGGTTTTAATGGACGAAGAGAAGCAAACGTAAATAGTCCCACACCGCCACTTATACCTTGTATTGTCAATTTTATCACTGTTGTTCAGGGAAAATATGGGAAGGTTAAAGCTCTCTTTCTCTTTTCTTCACCCCATAGCCTCCTCGGGTCTGCCGTTATACCGAGCAGTTCATCTGGTAGGTCACGAACGACTATTTCTTGCTTAGCTGGGCCTCATGACACATCATTAAAAAAGCCTTAAAGTGATATTCTGGCAAAAAACTTAGTTAGGGTCAAACACACCCAAACACACTTAGACACCCCCTCAAGAGATAAATGTTGCCGACTGTTTGCTTCTCTAGTTATACCAACTTCAGCAACGACCGCATGATACACGTGCAAACCTCAACCAAAAAGCCACTCGATAACCATAATAATGCTCAGAACAGCACCTAACTTCATGAAGAGTATATAAAGGGTCCCAGCCATAGTGCTAACCATCAAACATCTTTTTAACTTTGCTTATTTCTTTATCAAAGAGACCAAACACAACTCACCCACTCTCCTCCAGCAGCCGCTAGTTTGTGGGGGGAGCCCTGACAAGTCGATCACCAAGTGCAGTGGAGTTTCGCAGCTCAAGGAAGAACATTTCTGAATATTACTTCAGGGAAATGCGATCAGACTGAGACGCTAAGGCAGAAGAACTACTAAATTATTATTATGATGATTATTACTTCATGCAAATGATCCGCTCTCTCGAGTGGTTGTCTAATGTGGTGGTACGGTGTGTTTGACCATAACTTAAATTGATGCCAGAATATCCTTTTAAGTCCCATCACTGCTTATGAAGCTGTTTTCATTTACTTCCCCATGTCTATGATCTACAGGAAAACTTTAAAATCTCACTCTTCTGAGGAAATCTCTGACACATCCTGACAATTCTACCAATGCAGGTTACACAATCCAAAAGCGTTCCTCGATCAAGTATGGTCATACTTCTAGACTTTTCTCGGAAATTGCTTTAGACTAAATTACAAACTAAAGACGAAGTTTCACCTTGCGACTACCCGTACACCCACTAGTCTATCCCTGAGAGCTCACACCAAGCTCACCTCTCAGACCTTTTCAGATTAGTCCAGTGTCTGCAGGGCATCAAGGCTCACCTCAGATCATCTACCTGTTATTTCCTGTCTTTCTCTGCTGAATTCTAAATCAGGTTATTTCCTTTTCCTGAATCATCCTCTCTACTTTCAAATGGACAATTTTTCCCTCTTTCTTACCATCTAAAATACCCTCCATTCAGGGTATTTTTCACAGGTTTATTTCAAATCACCTCACACAACCTAGGTGTTAAGGTTTCAGGAGGATACGTTTTTTATGTTGTATAACAGTATTTTATAACAGCATTTTGTCAAACCGCTATTTCGTTTAATTCCAGCCTCAGCAATAATGACAAGTCCTAGCCAAACCCCAGGCAGCTGCTTTCTAAGGTCACGGAGCACCAACAGCTCCAGTCAAGGCCACAAATAACCTCCTTATTGCAGTGGAAAATGGCCTGCACGCCATCCTGTTCTACTTCACTTCTCTGCAACAATTCTAAACTCCTGGTCATGCTCCAAGATTGCTTTGTAACCTTAGCTGAAAAAAAGGGCAGGACCTGAACGTGAATCATATCCCAGTTTTCAGACGGCCTCATTTCTGTCATTTACTGTGAAGTCCTCTATTTCCCCTCCGTCTGTAAGAAATGTGAAGCCACCCAAGAACACGTTCAGGTCTTCCTTCATTCCTTCATCTTTTGAATTGATGTAGTTATTCTCTTCCTATAAACCAGACTTTTTATATTCCTTGTATTCTTGTCTTGTCAAGGTAATCAGATTTATTGTTTTATGTTTTGAAATTGTCTCCCAACAAGTGCAGAAACCTTATAATGATAACATTTATACACTAAAAGCCTATATTTATCAATGTCCTTCACCTTTGAAGGTTTTAACAGTTTCCAATGTCATCTCACTGTCATTTTTCAGCAGCAAGATCTGTTTTTGACGCTTGATTCTCACTGAGACAAGTCAAAAGCCGATTTGCAGACAGATGCAGAGGTGGAAAAACACCAACACCAAAACAAACATGGCGATGAAGAACCTGGAGCCTGTATAACAAAGGATTTTAGATTATTAAAGTTGCATCAAGTTGACTCCAAGTTCTTTGTTCTGCTTAGGTAGTTCACTTTCCCTTCATACCACTTGAACACCGGACCTCCTCCTCAACAGTTAATGTTCAGAATAAGAGATCAATTTGAGGACAACCCTGCCCCCTAACCAGTCATTTTCTCGACCTCTGAGCCTCAGGAAGAAGAGAAGAAAGAGAGACGAGACACATTTACATATGGGACTTATGCTGTGTTCCAGTTACCTCAGAAGTTGAATATTGGGGCTGGATATGACGTTACACCCGAGTTGACAATATTCTTGTAAACAAGTTGGAAAACCAAGATGGACACTTAGGATTGTAACATTTAGAGGTTGTTAGCTGTTGTTAGCTATACCAGTTGAAAAAAGTACATAACAGTATTTTACACATACAAACACCAGAGTACCCTGTTAGACAGTGGACAGTACTACATATACCACTTATTTAATTTTCCCAAAAACAAAACAGAAGTGCTGATAAGTAAAACATTACGAGAGCTTTCACTGATACTATTTATTATTTATGCACAGTGATGCCGTCTTTTACTACGATGGTATGGTCAAGTCAGGGTTGTTGAGGATCGTCTGACTTTTGAGTCGAAAATCCATCAACAGGTGGGAGTTCCAGATGAATGTCCAGCTGGGAACTTGGAAATCCTGACTTTCCAGTACAACTAGAACGCAGCACTAATGTATGACAAATAGGAGTGAAAGTTACTGATTCTGATTTTTTGAAATTATTGTTCAACATTAACTAAATTGACTGTCAGCAAAGATGTTATAAAATTGCACATGCCGATCACTTTGAATCTTGTTTATATTCATTCATATCCTTTCCATATTGCTGCCTTTAACACTGACGCACAGCTGCAGCTCAAATATTAGGTCTAAATCTGTCATACATTAATAAATTTCAGAAACAATGGAAGTTATTGTTGTCCAACCTTTTGGGCACGGATGATGAGAAAGTGACATTGTAGGTCTTAATCTGCACATTGACCTGAGACATCTTTCTCTTAGTGCACATGTATTTCTTTATGCAGCTATGCTTGTTTTTAACCTGGTTCAAGTGTGTCATATTTAATCAATATCATATTTTGCTCTGTATTTTTATATTTAAAAGGGAGATGATCTGCTGTGGGCAAACTTATTCATGCCTGATTGGTCAGGTGTCTTTAGCACCTTCCTGTTTGTGTGAACACAGTCACAGTAACTCTAGGTTGACTTATCAGGTTGGTAACCAACCTCACTGATGAGTGATCTCCTCTGTCAGAGGTACTGAAGCAATATGAGGAGAAGATATGAAAGTATGTTGAACCTGCTGTACAGCACAGGCCTCTGGGCAAGTTCTCTTCAAACGTGATCTAACCCCAAACATGTGGTGACAACTGTTGACATGTTGCGTTCTTGGTTATATTCTCAGTGTTCCTGGGATGGTGGATGCCAAAAGTATTTATGTATAGGCAAGGTAAAACATGTTTCTTGTTAACTGGGAACTTACTCCCCAAAGGGTGGTATTATTACATCGCAGGGTGTTAGTTTTTTCTTTCAGTCATGTGTGGGATTTATGTCAGATTGGCTTGGTACATTTAGCACTGTAATTTCAAATGTCTGCAAAATAGAGTGCAAGTGATGTATCTCTTAAAATAAACTGTGTGTGTGTGTCAGTGAGTGTGTATTGAACACATATCTCATTGCTTCTCCCCCTGCTGCAATCAATCCCTTTAATTACTCTGTCGTTGCTGCAACGAAAGCCGTCATCAGAGCCCCAAAACATCACAATCCTGCCAGAGTACAGACACAGAGAGAAAGATACAAGGAAAGGAGTTAAGGCTAGGAAGGTTAGAGATGTTTCACTTTTATCTCACCTGCCACAGGATTGATAACTCCAATTTCCATTCCTGACGGCTCCAAGTGTTTGATATCTTTAATATTTCATTGAATGTGCAGACTTGACAGCTTTTATTTAATTAGTATTTTTGCAATTTGCATCTTTAAATCTGTCACTAAAGTGAATCAGCTGAATCCATTAGCATGTATAAGCTATTAATAATCGAGGAGCATTTTTTTATTAGTTCCTGCTGCAATCTCACAGACAGAAGAGTTCATTTTTTATATATATATTTCATGCCTGTAGAGATAAACCCAGCACCTCAAGGTACATCATCTGACATCATGATGCTGCTTTCATTAAGGGGTTCATCAACTACTGCTAGAAGTCAAGGACTTGTAGTCCCGTACGTGCCAAAGGTTCCAGACCATTACAGTCACCAAGCTCTCCATCATGCGCACTCTTTGATGCCTGCTTTCAGAGATACACTCAAAATTAGACACCGATTCACACAAGTAAAGAGTTTTTCTACATTTTAGGGGCACAGTGAGAGAGGAGAACCATGCTGCTCAGCTCTGTCTGTGAAAGCAGTACTGTAACCACTATTCATTTTGCGGCATATACTTTAGACTGTGTGATTTATAAAATGTTTAAAGGGCCTTAAATGCAGTGCTGTGCCAGTTCACACAAAAAAAGATTTGCCGTAAAGTTCAACAGGTTAAAATGAACTACTTTATATATATCTTATTATAGCAACATCTAAAGTCTCTGTCAGCAAAGCCTCCAAAGCTTCAGTCCTTGGCCCCACATCATTGACATTTCCTAAACTGAATGAAATACTGCACTTTACTTAAGAAGCAAAAGCAAATATCAAGTTTGAAAGCCAAGAAAATCCCATCTGAGCGTCTTTTACCAATTGAACTGAAAAAAATCTGCAGCACATATACCTATAATTTGTTGGCTGAATATTTGGCTGAAAGTTTTGGCTTTAATACACAAACACACTCTGGGTAGGCATGTTTTGCAAAAAGACAAGAGGAAGGAGATTTTTGCGGCTCCAAAATATAGGGGCTAAAGGTGAAGGAACATTAAAAAGAAAGTTATTCTCCATTCTCATAAAGGCATACTTCTCCGTAGAAGTTTTTATTTGATTAAAATCTCTCATTAATTAATTCATGCTTTTATCACTTGTAGAATAGATTATTGTAATGCCCTCCTTTTTGGTCTCCCAAAAAGAAAATTTCACACCTGCAATTACTCCAAAATTCAGCTGCACTTATGCTAACAAGGACCAGAAAGAGAGATCACATTACACCGATTTTTTTGTCTCTGCATTGGTTACCCATCTCCTTTAGAATAGATTTTAAGGTTGCTTTATTGTTTTTTAAAGCTCTTATCTAT